ATTCATATTTGATTCCATGTACTAAGCACAATTATATGAGCTTATGGAATGAAAAAGGAGAAACCTAATCCAACCACATAGGAGTTAGGGAAGACTTCATGGAGGTAGCAGTTGCTTGAGCTTAATCTCAAAGGAGTTAGCCAGATGAATCGAGGACGGCCCATGTGGCACAGGGCAGAAAACATTTCAGGAGTGAAAACTTTGTAAAGACATGGAGGGAGGAAACAAGGTCAATATGGGGAATTGTTAATAGTTCAGTGACTATAAGGCAGAGAGGTATTAGAGACATAACTGGAAAAATAGGTGGGGCCAGATCATGCGGACCTTGAATGTCATGCTGAGAATCTTGAATTTGATTCCTCAGATAGTGGTGACCATTGGAGATTTTAAACAGAGGTGTGATGTGGTCAGATTTATATTTTTGAGAAATCAGGGTAGCATGGAGGCTGTTTTTTGATGGGTACAAGCCTAGACGCTGGGTGATCATTTAAGAAAATGTGACAAGGGGCACCTGGGTGGCTCAGTGGGTTAAAGCCTCTGCCTTCGGCTCAGGTCATGATGTCAGAGTCCTGGAATCGAGCCCCACATGGGGCTCTCTGCTCCACGGAGAGCCTGCTTCCTCCTCTCTCTCTCTCTGCCTGCCTCTCTGCCTACTTGTGATCTCTGTCTGTCAAGTAAATAAATAAAATCTTAAAAAAAAAAGAAAATGTGACAATAAATCAGAAGAGTGACAATAAGTGCTGAAATTAAGTCCTAGGTCATAAAGATGGAGAGAAGGGAGTAAATTGAAGAAAGAACTGGTGGGACTTGGTTAACTAATAGATTAACCAATCTATAGATTGGAGGAAAAGAGGGAGAAACTGAGGGTGGATTCCTGCTTTCTGGGTGTTTAGATATGGATAGTGGTGTGATCAAACAGTTCTAAAGAAAGCAGATGGATGTGTCTGATAGGCAGTTGGATTTTGAAGGTCGAAGGAGAGATTTGAACTAGAAAAATAGATTTAGGAGTCATTGGCAGGGAGGAGGTACTTAAAATCATGAGACTGGGCAACTTTCTACATGGGCAAATATAGAAGAAGAGCACTGGACAGAGGATAGAATCCTGGGGAACAGCCACATCATAGAGGTAGGCTGGGGGAAAGGCCATGAAGGAGACAGTTAAATAATATTAGAGAAGTGTAAGGAGAATCTGGAGTGTTTGGTGCACAGGAAACTGAATTAAAGGAGGATGGAATAAGCATTTTCAAAATGCAGAAGAGATTTCATAATCTCATGAAAGTGGTAATTAGATTTGACCAAAAGATGGCCAGGTATAGAGGAGTAGGACGGTAGAGTTGTATCCCCGACTGCACAGTGGGATTAAGGGGAAGTTAATATGTCAGTTGCTACTATAAGAAGCTTGTTCTTCTAGGAATGTGAGGGAAAGGAGGTGAAGATAACACTTAGGTGGCATTTCTTCCCTTTCTCAAATAACCTCAAGTGTCTTGAGAGAAAATTCTAGCAATGTATTACATGCATATTTATATTTAATAAATACTAATTAGATAAATAGATCTAATCAACTACCAAACCTTTAGATTTTTACTTAGCCTTTCTTCCTCTTGAGTGTCATAATAATTCCTTTTCCTTGAGCAGATTTTTCCCTTTAAATTATCTCCTTCCAACCTATTCAGTGCCAGAAAGTGTTTAGGTACTGAGAAGCTTCCTACAGAAATCTCCATGTCTCATTTTGGGAAATTGGGCACAGGCCATTTCCTGCTTTGGTCATTAAAAAAAATAATAATAGCTGTTGTTTGCACAGGTAATCAGAATTCCATCAAGAAATGCTGTGTACACTAAATCTAAGTTATGTTATTGTTATAATCACTAGTATTAGAATAACAAGGTTGTGACCTTGTTCATCTCTAAAAAATTCAATGTTGTTTAGCTAAGGTATAATAGAAGGGAGGCTGGACTTTTGGAGAGCAAAGATTGAACTATGTGCCCTGTGGGTGCTCCTTAATAGTTACTGAATGACTAATCAGGTATTTCATAAGCCCTAACACAGGTGAGATGATTGCCAGAGCAGGCAGGTGGGAAAAGTAAACTCCCACAAAAAGGACCGACTTGAAGGATTCTCAGGGAAATAAATGTCAGTGGTATTGCGCCATGTGTTATAAAACTGTATTTTACACATTCTGAAATACCTTACAAAGCTGAAAGGAAAAATTATAATTCTCAAGACAATAAAGTAAGATCCAGCAATCCCACTTCTGGGTGCATATGAAACCACTGTCTCAAAGAGATATCTGCACTCCCATGTTCATTGCAGCATATTCCCAATTGCCAAAGTATGGAAACAACCTAAGTGTACTTCAGTGGATAGATGGATAAAGGGGATATGGTATACATATACAATGGACTACTATTCAGTTATGAGAAAGAAGGAAATCCTGCTGTTTGCTACAACATGGATAGGCCTTGAGGGCATCATGCCTAGTGAAATAAGCCAGACAGAGAAAAACAAATACTGCATGGTATCATTTATATGTGAAATTAAAAAAAAAAGTCAAACTTATAGAAACAAAGAGGGTAGAATAGTGGTTGGCAGGGGCTGGGGTTGGGGGAGGAATAGGGAGAAACTGGTAAAAGGGTACAAACCTTCAAACATAAGATGAATAAGCTCTTAGGATCTAATGTCTAATATGGTGACTGTAGTTGGTAACTATTTGTATAATTGAAATTTGCTGAGAGTTGAATTTAAATGTTCTCACCGAAGAGGAAGAAAGGGTAAATATGTGAGATGACAGATGTGTTAATGAACTCAGTGGTGGGGGGGGGGTCCTTTGACAATGCATCTGTGTATCAGATCATCATGACATACACTTTAAATATCTTACAGTTTTAGTAGTTGATTAAACTTTGACAATGCTGATAAAGCAGTAAAGTAAAAACTAAATTGTCTTATATGGTGATGGTTTCTGATTACAGGTTTGCTAGAAATTTGTTGTGGGCAAGAATTCAAATCTGAGGAATGGAGCTTTTGTCCTGGGAACATTCATACTTTCAAACTCCCCCAAATTACAGGTTTATTGCATCAGGGTGAAATCCAGAGCTGATTCACATTCAGATTGCTTCCTTCTGCACCTTTAGGCTTTATTCATTTAGTTTCTTCATTTTCGTATCTCTCAATTTTGATAGTGTATTCTTTAGGTATTAATACTGTATACGAACAAATACTCATTTTACAAACACAGGCAAAAAGAAGACTTGTTAAGATACTGCGAGTCACAGGTATGTTTGAGGCATAATTCCCACTTAAACAGTTGAAAGAGATTACAATTCAGTGGTAGAAACATGAAGTAGAATTGTCATAAAGGATCACATGCGAAGTTTTGTGAGGTGTCGCTCTACATGCAGGGACTTTATGTCTTTTTATCTCTAGTATCAAGCTCAGTCTGGTATAGAGTAAGTTTATTGACTTGAAATTCATTTAGAGACTGGAAATGGGTGAAGCGGAAACCAGAAAGACCATGTAGAAGAGAGAAGGAATGAGCTGAGTCTGGCCTTGGAGAGAGAAGTAGGATCAGTACACAGGCATGATGAAAAAGAACTTCCTAGGCAAAGAGGGAGATTGGATTAATATGTAAATGTAGCCTGTTGTAGATATTAGAATCTGAGCTTCTCAGGCCCACCAGGATCTCAGATGGTTGATGACAAGGATCTCAGATGGTTGATGACATTTTACATTTACATTTTACAGTCCACTTGGCGAGTGATGGGGAGAGCATAGGTTATGCGCATTGAAGTAATATCTGAAGTAATATCTGAGTAATATCTGAGTTTGGGTCTCACCTTTAGCATATCATGTGACATCATGGCTGATGACATTTTATGTGTCAGTCCACTTGGCAGGTGATGGGGAGAGCATGGTTTATGGGCATTGAAGTAATATCTGAGTTTGAGTTTCACCTCTAGCATATCATGTGACTTTGAATAAGGTATATAAACTTTCTATGCTTATTTTTCTCAGCGGGAAAACAGAAGTAATACCTATTTGGGGCGTACCATATCCTAAGCTACTTCATTAAATGACGGTTCTTTAAAAAATGGCATACCAAAAAAAAAAAAAAAAAAGATAATTTGAAATACTTGAAATGTTAATGTGTAAGATGTTGGGAAGCTTTCCAGTTTCACCTTGAAAATTTCTCCTTGGGGGGGAAAAAAAAAGCTTTTAGAATAGACCCATGGCTCGGAATCAAAGGACCAGTTGCCTCTTCTTCACGTCATCTTCCTAGAGTGGGGAGATGAAATGCGAAGGTAGTTTCCACCTGCGCTGCCGGATACAATCGTAGCCACTCTCTCGCTACATTTGACTATGAAATATGGCTAGTTTGCATAAAATGCACACCAGATTAGACTTAAAAACAACATGTAAAATATTTAATGAATCATTTACTATTGAGTATATTTTGAAATGTTTCACACATATTGGGCTAAATAAAACAAATTATTAAAATTAATTTCACCTGTTTCTTTTTGCTCTTTCGATTAACTACTAGAAACTCTAAGTTACCTTTGCAGCCCTGGTCTTGATGACCACTCATGTCCCTTTCAGCTTTAAGACTGCCAGGGACACTGTGGACGCGTAATTGATACGGTTTGCTTTCCACGCTTTGAGATACCAAAGGATTGGCCGGGAGTGCGCGGGGTGGGGGGTGGGGTGGGGCGGGGCCCTGCGGGGAGACCCAGACCCCTTCGGTTTTGCTCTCGCTCTCACAGCGGGAAAGACCCCCGACTCCAGTGCGGGGGTTGGGGCGGCCGCCGGCGAGCGAGGCACCAGGCGCAGGGCGTAGGGGGGCCGGGGCCGGGCGCGGCGCGCCGGGCGGGGCCGCACCGGGAAGCGGGTTCGTGCGTCAGCCTCACGCGCGGGGAAGGAAGCAGACCTGAGGCCCTGGGCGGCCCGCTGCGGGCGCCTAGGCACGTCCGCAGGCTCTGCGGAGAGGTGGTTGCCGCTGAGAGGCGGGAGAGTCGAGGGCGGGCCTGGGAGGCGGCCCGGAGGTGGGGCGCTACTGGGGGCCGGCCCGCGCGGGCTTCATCTGCGGACGCGCGGCCTGCGCCCCAGTGCTGGGACCGCGAGGCGCCGGGCGACAATCGGCCAGAGCGGCTATGGGGTGCCGCTGGGCCTTCCTGATCGGCCTCCTGGGGGCCGTGTGGCTGCTCGGCTCGGGTCACGGTGGGCAGCAGGCCCCTGAGACGGCGGCGCAGAGGTGCTTCTGCCAGGTGAGGGCTGTGCGCGGCCGTGCGGCCGCTCCCGTGCTTCCCGCCTCTCCCCTGCGCTTCGTCCCGCGCAGCCCAGCAGGTGAGGGGCTAGGAGGACCCCTGAGTTTCTACCCTCCCGGACGAATCCCCTCTTGCGGGGCTGAGTCCTCTGCAGCTCGTCTGGCTTGGTGTGGAGCGGTGTCCCAACGCAGCCGCCCTTCGGATCCGGTGTTGGGTGAGAGGTGTGGGTGCACGCTGTTGTGTTTTTACCGAGTTGGTTTATGCATCTTTGTTGGTCTTCCCTTCCCGGGAAGGGCGTGGACACTGTGCACGCATACTCACTCTTTGTTATTTTAGCAGAAACCTGGGTCTTCCTAACTTCTAACTTGACCTGGAACTGTGTACGTTGTGCCTGTGCTGGGTGCCTTCGGTCTGCTTCCTGGGCAGGACACGGTTTTGTAGGGCGGCTACTCTCAGATCGCGTTGTCAGGCAGAAGGACTTGGTGTGGCTTTTCTGTGTCTAAGCCTCACTGCCTTGTGTCTTTGGGGCTGCGGCTTGCCCTGTGGCTCCTCGCACTGTGTGTCCTTTCTTTTTCCCAAATGTGATGAGATTTTCTTAACGTGACGCCCATTTGGCTGGTCTGAACTGGGAGGATGAGCCTTACTCCTCAGTGCACAAGTTTAATTACATGCTTATTATGATCATTTTCCCTTTTTAGTAAGAGATGTGGGTTCCTTGAGAAAAATTTTCAAAGAAATTTAGAGGTTTTTGGATCTACAGTATTCTGTGTTTTAATATCATTACTCTTAAAGTCACGTTTTGGTTGGTTTATGTTGATAAAAATTACATTTTATAGAAAATTGAGGGTAGGCATCCACATTTTTCCTTTTAAGTGGATTGTACTATTATCAGAAATGACATTTTATGTGTGTAAGGACAATTCTACTATTTCACAGAGTAAAGAAACAATCTTAAATCTTATGGAAGGAAAAAAATAAATAAATCAGTATTATGGGGAGAAGAACTGTCTTTTTCACTGCTTTATATTCTTGCATTTTGTCAATTTGTGGAGTGATTTGGGAGTTGAGGTGTTATCCCAGCATGAGTAGGACAAGTTGAAAGGAAATTGCTCCTTTACTACTAAGACTGAAAAGCTCCTTTACTTCAGGGGTTGCAAACTGCACACAATCAAGTACTTAAAAGGAAGAAGGGTCATTTTTATTCAGATTACAAATACAACATAACACAAAGTGTCAACTTTTACAAATAAGTAATATTGAGGTAAAATATTTTAAAATAAGTTAGTGTTGGGGCACCTGGGTGGCTCAGTTGGTTAAACGACTGCCTTCGGCTCAGGTCATGATCCCGGAATTTTTCTTAAAAGTGTTTTTTAGGGAACCTGGGTGGCTCAGTTGGTTAAGCAACTTCCTTTGGCTCAGATCATGATCCCAGCTCCATGGGGAGTCTGCTTCTCCCTCTGACCTTCTCCATTCTCATGATCTCTCTCACTCTCTCTTTCTCAAATAAATAAATAAAATCTTTAAAAAATAAAATAAGTTAGTGTTGAAACAAGATGTGCAATATAACATTTTCAACTACATTTTAGATTTTTAGATAATGAAATAATAGTACATGTTGAGCTTTTCAACTTTCACTACCCCCCCATAACCTTTTTAGATACCTGATTAAAATTAGGGAATTTTTAATTTTTTAATATTTTTTCTTCTAATTAGTATTTAAGCTCCCCCACCCTTACAATTATTTTCAAGATTTGAATATTCCCCCAACACAGACGTCCATTAGATCCCTTTCTTTTTGTTTTAGAACAAGAGTGGCTGGCTGTTTTTCTTTTCAGAATCAACTTTTACAAATAATAAATCGAGGGTTACGTGGTAAAAAAGTTGTTTTGTTTTTTTTTTTTTAAGATTTTATTTATTTGAGAGAGAGAGCATGAGAAGGGAGAAAGTCAGAGGGAGAAACAGACTCCCCGTGGAGTTGGGAGCCCGATGTGGGACTTGATCCCTGGACTCCGGGATCATGACCTGAGCCAAAGGAAGTTGCTTAACCAACTGAGCCACCCAGGTCCCCTAAAAAACACTTTAAAGAAAAATTTAAAATGGTCTATTTAATCAGTTTAAGAACAGAGACCATCAGTTTTGATTCAATAGATTGAAACAAAAATACATTTTAGTTCTGTTATGGTCAGTAACAGAAGAGATGAGGGTAAGGAGGAGAAGGGACAAATGATGAATAGACATGAAGAGAAAATTGGAGATAAGCATATAGATATAGACATGTACAGAAACGAGAGAGACACACATAAAAGAATGGTGGAAGAAAAGATTAGAGGAGATGAATGGTGGAAATTATTCATTCAATAAACATTTATAAACACTGTGTACATTGACCTGAGTGTTTGGAATACCGAAATAACTATGGTGTGATCCTTGCCCTTAAGAACTTAGAATTTAGTGAATAAAGTCCTTTAGAGCTTGGGTAGAGGCAGAGGCAGAGATCCTAAGCACTTTATTTTAAAGATTTTATTTATTTTTTGGACAGAGTAAGAGCACAAGGAGGGGGAGTGCCAGAGGGAAAGGGAGAAGCAGGCTTCCTGCAATTTGGGGGTCCACCCCAGGACCCCGGGATGCCCAGATCTTAAGCATCTTAAAAAACAAGTGAGTAGGGACACCTGGTTGGCTCAGGCAGTAGGGGATGATACTCTTGATCTTGGGGATGTAAGTTCGAACCCTATGTTGGGTGTAGAGATTACTTAAAAAAGAAGATCTTTTTAAAAAGTTAGTAAATAATGCTAGCCACTAAATTAAAGGCTAACTTTCGACCTATAGTTTAGAAATAAAAGTTAAAATCTCTTATTCTCTTTGCAATACCAAATTAGCAAAGTTCTGTGGAGTCTGCTTTGTTAATAGTCATCTCCCTTCCTACTGGCAATCTCTCTCTTACAGGCTTCTGCCTTGAATTACCACATCATCATCCCCTCATCACATGGGTGCCTGGTAATAGGGGTTCGGTTAACAGAATACCACTTTAAATGGAGCCAAAGTAGCATGTAATTATTTGGCCTTAGAAAGTGATTGAAATAAAATGTACAAAGCTCTACAAATAAACACATTAAATTCAGTAAGCATTTTATTGAGGCCAATTGTGAATAAGTTTTGAGAAATCAAGAAATAAACTAAAAATTTTATTTTTTTTAAAGATTTTATTTATTTATTTGATAGAGATCACAGGTAGGCAGAGAGGCCGGCAGAGAGAGAGAGGTGGGGGGAGGCAGGCTCCCCGCCATGCAGGGAGCCCGATGCGGGCATCTTTTTTTTTCCAGTAAGAAGAAAACTTTTTTTTTAAGATTTTATTTATTTATTTGACAGACAGAGATCACAAGTAGGCAAAGAGACAGGCAGAGAGAGAGGAAGGGAAGCAGGCTCTGCTGAGCAGAGAGCCCGATGTGGGGCTCGATCTCAGGACCCTGGGATCACGACCTGAGCCAAGGGCAGAGGCTTTAACCCACTGAACCACCCAGGTGCCCCTAAACAAAAAATTTTAAAATTTAGTCCCATTTCTTGATACTCCAGGGTACTGAGCCTGGTACATAGTTGGTACTCAGCGAATATTAGGGAAGTTACAAAACAGGATGTGAGCACTGTGCTAGCAGGAGTATATTCTTTCAGTTATTCTGCTTAGCGAGCCATTTGCATGTTTTTCTGGAATTGATCTTTCAGGTGGGTGGATGGCTCCAAATGCATCTTTAAAGTTAGTCAGTTACTGCATATGTCTGTTGACATCAAGTCCTACTAAAACCATTTCCACTGTATGTTGTCAATTATTTCGGTAACGATGCTTCAGTGTTAGTTGCTGCAAATAAGTGATAAATTGCCTGGGACTTATAAGACATCCTTAAATATAGTGCCCCATTTTTTAAATCATTCTACTTAAAAATTTTTAAAAATGTACACTTGGTGTGCAGGTCTATGTGGTTTGTGTAAAGAACCCTATGATCATGACCCGCCCTTTCTTTCAACCACAATAATAATCATATTATTTGTTATAATAGTATGGGCTTGAAGTAAATGGAGACTCTTCAGACTTTCTTGTTTTCTTTTTTAGTTTTTTTGTTTTTTGTTTTGCTTTTGACAGGGTTTCAAATTTCCTTTTCCCCATTATATAACATTAGAGAGAAGCAACGTAACAGAACTTTAGTCCCAGTTCTTGGAATCCCAGGATGCATTTTAAAGAAATAACCCCAGGAGAAATATTGAAGCCTAGATATGCAGGCAGTATGGCCAGGTTTTTCATTTAAATTAATTAGAAATGAGTCTGTAAACTCTCATGTAGTCAAAATGTTTTATTAATCTTAATATGGCTAGTGCTGATAACACTCAGATCCACTTACTTCAGTGCAGTAAATATCAGGCTAATGAAAGGGAAGTAGGTCAGATAATTAAAAATCGATCATTTTTGTTTGGAGTGCATTGTAGATGCACTCTTCATACATGTATTTTGGCAGATTTACCTGTCCAGTGGCTTGTTTAGATCGATTTTATTTATTTACTTATTTATTTAATATTTTATTGATTTATTTGAGAGAGAGAGCAAGAGCGAGCACAAGTGAGAAGGAGGGAATGGGCAGGAGGGGAAGAAGAGGAAGAGAGAGAATCTTAAGCAGATTCCTCACTGAGTGCAGAGCCCAACGTAAGGCTCAATCCCGAGACTGTGAGATAATGACCTGAGCCGAAATCAAGAATCAGGCATTTAACCAACAGAGCCACGCAGGCTCTGAGACACCCGCCCTGTTTAGGTCTATTTAAAAAACAGTTTTTATTTGTTAGAGTGGCTGGGCCATGGAAGAGACACTCCAAAATATGTTGCCTGGTAGGTAGAAATACACCTGGATTAAAACTTAGAGGACTCTTTGAAACAGGTTATCCTGCAGAGATGTCCACTGACTGTGAGTACTTACTATTTGAACAAAGAATGTGGAGGAAAGCATGTTTCACATTGGTTGCTTCACTTTGGGTCACAACAATTTAAAGTTCTAAAGACTAAGGCTTCAAGGCAGAAATAGCTTGTAGCTTTCCATGTCCTTAGAATGGTGCCAACTACTGAGTATAGAATGTTTGGTGTTTCCATGCTTTCATTAACAGAGGTGTCTCAGTCAAATCTTTCAATAAATAGTTTTCATGTTCTTTTTGATGGTCACAAACCACTATAAAATTAAATATAACTAAAAGTTTCTGCAAAAAAAAAGAACACTTTGAACACTTTTTTCTTAAAAACGATTTATTTATTTGACAGAGAGAGAGAACTTGCACATGTGCAGGCAGGGGAGGGGCAGAAGAGAGAGGGAGAGAGAGAATCCTCAAGCAGACTCCCAGCTGAGTGCAGAGCCTGATGTAGGGCTCGATCTCAGGACCCTGAGATCATGACCTGAACTGAAATCAAGAGTTGGGTGCTTAACCAACTGAGCCACCCAGGTGTCCCCACTTTGAACACTTTTAAAAGGTATTTCATATTTTGTACAAGTATGAAGAATATATTTTCACAGTGCTTTGGAAAAAAATCATAGTCTGTGTTAGGACTAGAAGTTGTTTGCTCATAAGGAAACTATTTAGAAAGTGTTTTTTTGTTTTGCCTTTCATTGTAAATTCATTGTGAACAAAGAAAATAGTGAATAAGCAGGCCCATGTTGTTTTCTTTTCGCTTGCCTTTTGTATTTGGTATTTGGTCCAAACCAGTCAGTCTGTGAAGAAACTGTTTGAGACTACCTCTGCAGCTAACTGTTGGCTCTCCAGTTCTATGTTCCATTGGGTCTACAGATGTAAAATTTTGGGAAAATTTTAGCTACAAACTGGGCCTTTTTTTTTTCTTACTAAAAAAAAAAAAATGTAAGGGTGCCTGGGTGGCTTAGTTGGTTAGGTGTCTGACTCTTGATTTCAGCTTATGTCATGATCTCAGGGTCATGGGATCAAGCCCCACATCAGGCTCTGCACCAGGCTTAGAGCCTGCTTAAGATTCTCTCTCCCTCTATGCCGCCCCCCCTGACCCCCGCCAGCCCACCACCCTGGACTCGTGTTAGAATGCATGCGTGTTCTCTCTCTCTCTCTCTTTCAAAAAAAAAAAAAAAAAATTGTGGGTTGCTTTGGGGAATAGTAACATCCCTTTCCCTAGAAGCACTTAGGCAGCAGTAGGTGATAATACTAACACTTACTGGCCATTTATTCTGTAATTTCATCTTGATATTAACTCTTATAGATGGGAACTATTAGTATTGCCATTTTGTGTTGAGAGAGCAAACTGAGGCTTAGAGAGGTTAAAAAAAAAACTTGGGTAAGATCAGTAACTAATAAGTAGCAGAGATGGGATTCAACCCCAAGAAGGCCTGACCCCTCGGCCTTCGTGCTATCCATTGTCACATACTACCTCCTTGAGAGTGTGTAGGAGGGCATTGCTGTGTGCTTGGGAGGTTGCCGTCAAAGGCCCTCAAAGGCTTTTCAGCTCTTTAGAGGCTTGGACTTTAAACTGGGTGATTGTTATGTCAGGTCTACCCTGGTCCTTATATCTGCCATACCTCAGCAAGGGCCTTCTACTTGCCACCTGTTAATTTGGCTCCCTACCCAAAGCTGATTGCCACCTGAGGCCTAGAGCAGCAAATCTCAAATTTTAGCATGCATCAGTCACTTCGTCTGTGTGTGAGGCAGGGAGTTGGGGAGGGGGCATTAAACACATTCAGGTTCCTATGGTAGGGTCAGGTCAGAATTCCCTTGGAGTTTAGGAGATAGTGTGGCCATTATTTAAGTAGCCTTCGCACATCCCAGAGCTGCATCAATGTCAGGTCGTCCTTGTTCCAAATCAGCACCCAACTTTGGGTCTTAGTTTAGGTCCTAGGACATTGCTTTGTTTCCAAGCTTCTGTTCACTGGATTTCTTCCTTTGTCTTTCCCAGAGACTCTATTCTGGTAACATGCCTGGTTCTCTGGTTTGTAGAACTGGGCCTGGCATCATACCTGCCAGACTTTCCAGGGATTGGGTTTTGCCTGTTGGGAGGCTTATCTGAATAGTCACGTGGCTTGGATTTCTGAGTATCTTCCTGTCTCTCTTGCTGGGGCCTCTCCATCTATGGAAACTTCCCCACCTTTGCTCTACCTCCTTAGCTGCCCTGCTACCTTTTGTAGTAGTTGGAAATACCTCCTACTCAATTTCTAAGGTAAAGGTCAGAGGACTTTTAAATCTACCATTGTCCTGTCTTCTCTCTTTGAGGTCTTTGGGCTATAAGCCATTTCTGCTCTGAGTGCATCTTGCATTCCTTTATGGTTTGGGGCTTCTGCTAGCTTCCTTTGTGGTTAAGGTATAGATTGATAAAATGTTGCTTGCAGTAGGTTATTTACCTCTGCTGCTTGCCTTCCTTGTTCTGAGCTCATTGCTGCCACTCGGGCTTGTGTGGTCTGGAGCACTGAATACCGTAGGTAGCACTGAGCTACTGTAGGTGACATGATAGTACATAGTCCTAATTAGATTGTGGGGCTGGTGTCCAGTGAATGAGAGTGAGAGTGGACAATATTCACCAAAACATTCATTCATACATCCACTCCACAAATAATATTGAGCATCCCCTGTATGCTTTCTAGAAGTACAGTGCTAAGGACTGGGAATACAAAACATGATTTTGCTCTCAAGGAGTTTAAACTCTATAGGGAGGAAGTGAAATAGGTAAGTCCAATATAGCGAGATAATTTGTATATAGCGAGTATGTGAAGTGTCCTGGATACACATAGGAGGGACAGTTAAGCCAATAGGGATTGAGTGGTACCCTGGGGATAGCTTGAACTTGAATTTCAAGGATAGAATTCTACCTTAAAAATGAATTATTTAAGGGGCACCTGGGTGGCTCTGTCGTTTAAGTGTCTGCCTTCGGCTCATGTCATGATCTTAGGGTAGTGGGATGGAGTCCTGCATCGGGCTCTCTGCTCAGTGGGGAGTCTGCTTTTCCCTCGCCCTCTGTGTTCTCTCTCTCAAATAAATAAATAAATAAATAAATAAATAAATAAAATCTTTAATAAAGAAAAGGTGAACACATTTAAAAGAACTGAATTAAAGGGAAAAATAAGTTTCAAACCCTTTCTCTTGTTCGTGTGTGTGTGTGTGTGTGTGTGTGTGTGTTTGTGCTTGTTTCTTTTTGTGACCTAATGTCTCTACTTGGCATGTGTCACTTTGGCCTTTGCAGTCTTACTACCTGTTATTTCTTTGTGTAATAATTTGTATCCAAGGGGAAAACAGTAGCTATTTTATGTCCTTAGAAGTTTTGCTTTTAATGCTTGAAAGAAAGAGGTGTGAAAAGTCAAATCATCTAGGTTAGAAGCACTTTTGTTTTATTACTACCCCAAATTAGGAACTGAAGATTATTGTATATTCAGAGAATTTTTAGCAGGAAACAAGGACAAATTTGCATATGAAATGAAAGTAGTTATTGCAGTAACAAAATATGTAGATGAGATTTCTAGTACCCAAATTAGTCTAAAACAAGTCCAAAACAAATGAGACTAGGTAAATTGGTATAAAATCTTAGCTCTCAGATATTGCTGTCATCCTCCGACGTATTATCTGTCATCACCCAAATGTATTCACTCAGGTAAAAATTTGCATTATTGTTTTGTAAGAGCAATAGCATCATTAAATTACTGTCATACCCCATCTCTGAAAATTAGGAGGAGGAGGGATGAGAAGAGTTGTCTGAATCATAGCCTGTGAGGAAAAAGAGCCCTGTTATACATAAAGTATTTTTATGTATTATTTCATTTTCTTTGTAACAGGTTAGTGGTTACTTGGATGATTGTACCTGTGATGTTGAAACCATCGATAGATTTAATAACTACAGGCTTTTCCCGAGACTACAAAAACTTCTTGAAAGTGACTACTTTAGATATTACAAGGTATTTTTATTTTTAATTTTTTTTGTAAAAGAATACTTAGAGTTTAAATATACAGCTATATTTTCTTAGGAATTTCTGAACTTCAAAATTGTGGCCATTATTTAAAATTCAGTTCACAAGAGTGAACAATGTGGTTCTGAAACTGTCCATTGGATGCTTTTAATTTCAACAACTCAATTTTGCGCTCTGGAGTTAGAAACTTATTGGTTAAATTGAAGTCAGAACAGAAACTATTACACTGTTACCAAAATTGCTAATGCGTACTTTTCTAAAATACTGTATTGACTCCACTTAATTAAAATCATTAGATTTTTTTGAGAAGCATGATTTTATTCTGACCTGTATTATTTTAACTAGTCACTTGAGATATCTACAGAAAGAGTTTAGAAAATCTGATCATTGGAGTATGTAGTCCTCATCTGAGTTCACAAAGGCCTGGTACTTGCTTAAAAAAGAGTATCACTTGAATGGTGATGGTATGAGCTACTTCGGCTCCTAGTCACCGTCTGTTCAGGGTTTGTGTAGTAGTGGTCTATCTTTCTAATCAAATCTACCAATTTGCTTACGCAAGTTACACATTGATATAATTGCTGAACTTGGCAACAGGGACCTAGAAGAAAAAGAAAAACGGAAGCTAATAGCATGACCAGGTTCTAGCATCTTAATTCAACGCTTGTCAATAATAATCTCATGGTTCTTACTTTTATAACCTTTTTTCTTATCCTTAGGTAAACCTGAAGAGGCCATGTCCTTTCTGGAATGATATCAACCAGTGTGGGCGAAGAGACTGTGCTGTCAAGCCTTGTCAATCAGTAAGAACCACACATACATTTAAAACCTGTTACATCATTTTTCAAATAATTGCAATTTTGAAAAAGGGCACAATGCGACTAAAATAACATTTCAGTCCTTAGGTTAAATATAATGTTGTTTAATATTTATGGATTAAAAACCTAAACTTGGGTGCCTGAGTGGCTCAGTCGGTTAAGCATCAAAACTCTTGGTTTTTTGCTCAGTCATGATCTCAGGATCCTGGGATCAGCCCTATGTCAGGGTTCATGCTCAGCAGGGGGTCTACTGGAGATTTTCTCTCTACTTCTACCTTAACTCCCTCCCCCATCAAATAAATACATCAATCTTAAAAAAGAAAAAACAAAAACCAAAGGGCACCTGGGTGGCTCAGTGGGTTAAACATCTGCCTTTGGCTCAGGTCATGATCCCGGGGTCCTAGGATCGAGTCTCATATTGGGCCTCCTTGCTCAGCAGGGAGCCTGCTTCTCTCTCTCCCTCTGTCTGCTGCTCCCCATGCATTTGCTTTGCTCTCTCTCTAATAAATAAAATCTTAAAAAACAGAAAAACACAAAAGCAAAACCTAAACTTACTAATGATATATCCTATTTTGAATTATTTTGCTTTCATAATAATAGAACTAAATTTTGTGATAAATATAATCCTTTGATTTACTAGTGAGATTAGTAGTTCTTTTGGCTTAATGTTTGTTTTTCTTATGTCTTACCCAAAGTTGTGTTTATAGTATAATGAAATGAAATTAATTGAAGTATAAACAAAATCCCTTTTTTCATGGGTGTATTGTTTTCTTTGGGTGAGGAGGGGTTGGACAGAACACCTGGTTTTGCTTAAGAATTCTCAGAGCAGGGAGGCCTGAGTGGCTCAGTTGATTAGGTGTCTGCCTTTGGCTTGGATCATGATCTGGGGTCCTGGGATCGAGTCCCATATTGGGCTCCTTGCTCAGCAGGGAGCCTGCTTCTCCTTCTACCTATCACTTCTCCTGTCCACTGCTCCTCCTGATTGTGCTCTCTCTCTCTCTCTCTGACAAAAAAAAAAAAAAAAAATTCTCAGAACATTAAAATTTAAAGCATTTTACTCTGAAAACAATTTTACACTTTCAACAAAACCTTTTTTCCCTTTAAAAGCATATATTTCTATTTTTCTTCTTTATTGTGATAAAATATGCATAACAGAAAATTTACCATTTTAACCATTTTTAAGTGTACAGTTTATTGGCATTAAGTACAGTCATGTTGTTGTGCAATGATTACCACCATCCAGTTAGAGAACTTCTTCCTGATCACAAACTGAAACTGCACATTGATTAAACAGTAACTCCCTATTCCACCCTCCCTCTCACCCTTGGCAACCACTATTCTGCTTTCTGTCTCTATGAATTTGATTATTCTAGGTACCTCATATAAGGGGGATTATTACAAAATTTGTCCTTTTGTGTCTGGCTTGTTTCACTTAACGTGATTTCAAGGTTTATCCATAGTAACATGTATTTGAATTTTATTCCTCTTTAAGGCTGAGGAATACTGCATTGTATGTGTATCTGCTTTTCATTTATCCATTCTCCCATTGCTTGGCTTTTGGGTTATTCCCATCTTTTGGCCATTGTGCATAATGCTGCCCTGGATATGGGTGCAGAAGTATATGCTTGCGTCCCTAATTTCCATTCTTTGGGGTATACACCTAGAATTAGAATTACTGGATCATACGGTAGTTCTCGCTTTAATTTTTGGGGGGAACATCATACTGTCTTCACAGTAGCTGCACCATTTTACATTCCCACCAGCAGTGTACAATGTTTCCAAATTCTCTGTATCCTCACCAACACTCACTCTTTTCTGTTTTCTGGATAATAGCCATCCTAAAGGGTATGCTATAATTTTGAGTGGTTTATTTTATTTTTTAATGTTTTGTTGCTGTATTTCTTTTTTTTATTTAATTTTTTTTATTAACATAAAATGTATTATGTATTAACATAAAATGTATTATTTGCCCCAGGGGTACAGGTCTGTGAATTGTCAGGCTTACACACTTCACAGCACTCACCATTGAGTGGTTTATTTTTATATGTGTAAATATTGCTATATAGACCTATCTAGCATATGGAATTAAAGAAAATATAAAAATTTTATTTATGGGCATATTGTCATTAGATACCTGAGAATCAGGTCTTTAGTTATACTCATCTTCACAGACAAACTTTTTGAAAATTCAAGAATTAGCTTGTGAAACAACCTCTATTATGAAAATATCATTAAAGTGATGTCATCAGTTTAAATGTTTCATTTTATTTCCTAAGTTCTGGCATTTATATTTAGTAATCAGAAACATTAGTTGGGGAAATTCAAGTTTACCAATAACTTATGTATGACTTATTAAATATGATGAAAATAGGAGTGGCTGGGTAGCTCAGACGTTGAGCATCTGTCTTTGGTTCAGGTCATGATCCCAGAGTCTGGGGATCAAGCCCTGCATCAGGTTCCCTGCTTAGCAGGGAGCCTGCTTCTCCCTCTCTAACTCTCCTGATTTGTGTTTTCTCTCTTACTGTGTCTCTCTCTGTCAAGTGAATGAATAAAATCTTAAAAAAAAAATGCTGAAAATATGGTACATACTTAATAAAGGCATTTAATTGCACTTATGCATTAAATGGGCCATTATTGACATTGGTCAAAACAGGCAGGTGGGGGCGTCCTGGGTGGCTCAGTGGGTTGAAGCCTCTGCCTTCGGCTAGGGTCATGATCTCAGGGTCCTGGGATTGAGCCCCATGTCGGGCTCTGCTTGGCAAGGAGCCTGCTTCCTCCTTTCTCTCTGCCTGCTTCTCTGCCTACTTGTGATCTCTGTCTGTCAAATAAATAAATAAAATCTTAAAAAAAAAAAACAGGCAAGTGGTTTTACAGGTATTGAAAATTTGGATCTCATCTTTTTTTAAAAAAATGTTTCTTTTCTTTTAAGATTTTATTTATTTGAGAGAGAGAGAGCAAGCAAGAGAGAGAGAGAGTGTGCACAAGCAGGGTGTAGGGGAAGAGGGAGAAGGAGAAGCAGACTCTCTGCTGAGCTGAGCAGGGAGCATGATGCAGGGCTTGATCCCAGAACCCTGAGATCATGACCTGAGCCGGAGGCAGATGCTTAACTGAGTGAGCCACCCAGGCACCCCTCATCTTTTTTTTTTTTTTTAAGCAATTTAAAAAAAATTTTTTTTTTTCGGGGGCTTGAATTCATGACCCTGAGATCAAGACCTGAGCTGAGATGAGTCATGTGCTTAACTGACTGAGAAATTCAGGCATCCCTAAACGTTTTCTTTTAAGTAATCTCTACACCCAATGTGGGGCTTGAACTTGCAACCTGGAATCTCTCTATAAACTGACAGTCCAATTATTTATTATCTTTACAATGGGTCAAAGCAACATTCTTTCCCCTCCATTCTTAAATGACCAATGTGAAAATGAATAACAAAATCTAGTGTTAGTCTGTGAATAAGAAATGAGCACTCTGCTGGTTAAATCTTTTTGGAGATCAGTTCAGCAAATGTATCAACAAAATAAAAAAGGTACATGTCTTTTGGTATAACAATTCCACCAAGATTTTGACTTACTAAAATAATTGGACAGATGTTCAAAGATGACCATAAAGCAGTAATAAATACTGTAAAGGTGTTAATTCTGCTACAATTAGTTTATGAATTTGGCAAGATATGAAAAAATTAGAGACCATCTAAATATCTGGTCTTAAGAAAAAGAATTGTACATTGAGCTAGTTCAAAATCTGGAAAGTTACATAATAAAGTGATTGTCTCTGTGTGGGTCCTTCCCTTTTGGCAGGTATATTCTATTTCATAAATATACTTAGCACTGGAATAGGGCCCTGCGGTTTCAGAGTACATGCATCATTATGTCTATTCACAGCATCACTTTGAGGATAGACAGACATGTCCTATAGTTGGTAAGTGGCCAACACTTGACTAAAGACCAGTGTCAATCTCCTTTGAAAAGAACTAGGGCTTCTTAAAAAATTCTTGATTCCAAGATTGGAGCAAGAAATATACATGGTGGGCCACCTGGGTGGCTCAGTCGGTTAAGCATCTTCATTCAGGTCAGATCATGATCCCAGGCCTGGGATTGAGCCCCACTTCTGGCTCCCTGCCCTGCTCAGTGGGGAGTCTGCTTCTCCCTTTGCCCCTCCCTGCAACTCATGCTGTCTCTCAAATAAATAAATAAATAAAATCTTAAAAAAAAAAAAAAGAAATATACAAGGTGAGCCTGGAGTATCTTGTCATAACAGAAAACAAAGGGTGGTGCTAAAAGATTAGTAGGGTCATATCAATAGGGATACAGATATCAAGTCAGCACTTTGTGGGTCCCCTGGTTGCCAGTGTGGGACAATTTGGGTGTCAAAAGGAGTGGCTATTTTTACATTTCCATGCTGTTATGTAAGTAGTAAAATACATGATCAGCAGCCTGTACAATAATTTGTTGGGTTTTTGTGTACTTTTAAGAAGTGATATAAAGGGGGGGCGCCTGGGTGGCTCAGTGCATTAAGCCTCTGCCTTCGGCTCAGGCATGATCTCCAGGGACCTGGGATTGACCCCCATATCCAGCTCTCTGCTCAGCAGGGACCCTTCTTATCCCCCAACCCACCTGCCTCTCTGCCTACTTGTGATCTGTCTGCCAAAAAAAAAGAGGTGATATAAAGGGACACCGGGGTGGCTGAGTTGTTAAGCGACTGCTTTCAGCTTGGGTCATGATCCCAGAGTCCTGGGTTTGAGCCCCACATTGGGCTCCTTGCTTGGCAGGAAGCCTGCTTCTCCCTCTTCCTCGGCCTGCTGCTCTGCCTACTTGTGCTATCTCTCTGTCAAATAAATAAATAAAATCTTAAAAAAAGGAGAGTGATATAAAAACTGCTTAACTATTCTCAGTTTAAAGATAATCTCAAAAAATAAAAAATAAAAATAATCTCATAAGGTTGCCTGATTGACTCATTTGGAAGAGCATGTGACTCTTGATCTTGGGATCATGAGTTCGAGCACCATGACGGGGGTAGAGATTACTTAATAAAATAAACTTTAAAAAAATAAAAATAATCTCATAAATTATAGAAACTTAAATTTTTTTTCAGAAGGTAGAATAAATTTCTGATAAAAGCATTTTTTTTTTTCCAGGATGAAGTTCCTGATGGAATTAAATCTGCAAGCTATAAGGTATGTATAAGTACTTACTAATATAAGAAAAAAACCCATCACCCAGCTTCAGCAATTATTAGTCTGTGGTCAATTTTGTTTCGTCTGTACCTTGTGCTCCACTTTCCCAATTATTTTAAAGCCATTCTCAAGTCTTTATGGATATTTATTTTCTACTTAGAATTATAATTTAGTGTGACTTCATTTTACTGTTCAGATCATTCTAATTTGGCCACTGGGAGCTGTTTCAGTTGTTCCTGTGTCCCTTTGATCTACTCTCATCATTGTGGTTTTTCTCTTTCTTCAACACTTTCTTAGTTTCTGGCACTACTGGTATATTTCTGTCTCTTCAGTCTCTTTTAACCCATGTCCATTCCCTTTTCTTTTTTCTTCTTTGCAAACTTATATGTTGAGGAAATGAATCCTTATCCTATAGAATTTTCCACATTCTGGGTGCCTGGGTGGCTCAGTTATTAAATGTCTGCCTTCAGCTCAGGTCATGATCCCAGGGTTCTGGGATCGAGCCCCACATCGAGCTCCTGCTCAGTGGGGAGCCTGTGCCTCCCTCTCCCTCTGCTGCTCCCCCTGCTTGTGTTCTCTCGCTCTGTCAAATAAATAAATAAAATCTTTAAAAAAAAAAAAAAAGAATTTTTCATATTGTGTTTTAGTTGATTGTATCCCTATTACATCATTCAACACATTATTTTCTATAAACTGGCAGTTATGTTTTATGGCTTTTCAGATTCATTTCCTGATATGTATTCTAAGTGTTGCTGTATACTTCTTATTACATCATATCAGAAGACACATCATGTCTGGTTTTCTTTTTTTCTATGATAAGATTGATCATTAGGTTCATTATACATCTGATATAAAGTTCCCTAGTAGCTTTTTCTGTGAAAGTTTTGGTAGCTTTGATGATTATTACCTAGTTGCATTCTTTCATTAGGGTTTTGAAAATGCTGATACCCTAATTATATCGTTCTTTCTATACTTATTATCTGTTATCATTCTATAAAGATCTTTTCTTGTCAACTATTTGGATGCCCTGAAATACAGTTTATACAGGACAGACAGGATCAGTGCTTCATTCTTTTCCTCTCTTTACCAGTTTTCAGAATAATTATGAGTCTGGTCCCCTAACACCTCTGAAGATGCCCAATAAAGTTTTTATTTTTAGGTGTTATTTTGAACTTAAGATTTTTGACATAATTTATGTGTTGGATTCTATTGTACTCATTTCTTATGATTCCTTTTGATGTTTGAGTTGTTCTGTCTTTAGCTACTGGGAGCTCCTTCAAGTTAGTGACTATGGCCTTTTAAGATGATCCCAGTAATGGATTCTACCATTAACATTTTGTAAACTTACATTATCTCATATGTATTTGTCCATCTTTCTAGTTATCCATTAAAAAATGTTATTTTCTGGATATAGTTCAAAGTAGATTGCAAGCATCAGTACGCATTGCCCTAAATGTGTCATCAACTATATATATATATGTATATACATATATATATACACAACTAGAAGTATATCATTAACCAGAGTCCAATATTTGCTTCTACGTATTTTTTATAAAGTTAACACACAGTGAGATGCACAAATCTTAGGTGTGCCTGTGCTAAACGCAGGTACCTGTGTAATCTATGCTTCGATTACAATAGGGAACATTACTATTACCCTAGAAAGTCGCTTGATACCCTGTCCCAATTTTTACTTTTTCTCCCAGGGGCAACCACTGTTCACTTTTTCCACCATAGATTCTAAAGTAATTTTGCTCCTTTTTGGTTCCATGTTTTGTTGTTCACGTACAAAGAGTAAAGTCATAGCTATAAATGTGTTGGCTCTAGTAGCAGAACTTTGAGCATAGTTAAATGATGCCAGCATCATCAAAACTTTTGAAAGTTTATGCTGTTGAGGGAAAACATTTGTTCCTATTGTGAATGCCAGTATAAATTCATTTTAAGCTAAAAACTGAAGACAAAATATTTGTTTTGTGGTGGTAATATACAAATTCTGATAAAAACAATTCTGACTAAATCAAGAAATCTGTGGAGCAGAAATGAATTTGTAGTTGATTAAGATATACACATAATTCAGGGGTGCCTGACTGGCTCAGTCAATAGAGCATATGACTTTTTTTTTTTTTTAGGATTTTATTTATTTATTTAACAGACAGATCACAAGTAGGCAGAGAGGCAGGCAGAGAGAGAGCGGGGAAGTAGGCTCCCTGCCAAGTAGAGAGCCCAGTGTGGGGCTCGATCCCAGGACCCTGTGATCATGACCTGAGCCGAAGGTAGAGGCTTAACCCACTGTTACCCAGGTGCCCCTAGAACATATGACTCTTGATCTCAGGGTTGTGAGTTCAAGCCCCACATTGGGTGTAGAGATGACCTAAAATAAAACCTTAAAAAAAAGGATACACGCATAATTCATAATTGTGTCCAAATATGCTGTGATATTTTACCAATTAAGATTGAAGTGGTAATTGTCAAAATGTATAGGTTTTTGTATTTATATATATACTTAATGACCATAAAATTTTTGAGGTAAAGCTAATACAGAAGAAAATATGACTTTGGCATGGACAGGGGTACTTTCTTTGCTGTCCATCATCAATCAGATTTTATCAATGTTTGAGCCTTTGCGGAGCCTGGGTGGCTCAGTGGGTTGAGCCTCTGCCTTCAGCTTGGGTCATGATCTCAGGGTCCTGGGATCGAGCCCCACATTGGGCTCTCTGCTCGGTGGGGAGCCTGTTTCCCTGACTCTCTCTCTGCCTGCCTCTCTGCCTACCTCTCTGCCTACTTGTGATCTCTGTCTTTCAAATAAATAAATAAATAGAATCTTTAAAAAACAATAAACAATAAAAAATAAATGTTTGAGCCTTTGAAGACTATTTTGTAAAACAACCCAAGAGTCCTTCAGTGGTATTAACCAGTTTTTAATAAATGAGATCACTAAATGTCGATAGCTATATGTTTAAAATCAGTGGACAATTATTGTTCAAAGTATCAATGAATGGAATGCTTAAAGGAAAAATTCTTAGGTTTTGAAGGTTTAGCAAATTGCAGTTATTATAACAAAGCTTGTCGAAATTTATTTCTACAAAAGCTAGGAGGGATTAAACATAATAACGTGGGGAAAGTTGGTGCTCTAGGGTTTAATTCTGAAATTTTATAATTGTGTTTTGGAGTATCTCCTCTTGTGGGAAGAGTCTCTTCTTGATGAAACTCTTGTTTTTAATTGGATAAGTTTGTATTCTCATCTAAAATGAAATGAAATAAGAAGGATTACAATTTTGTAGCATCTATATTTGGCAAAATATTTAAAATAATAAAAAAATTATTTGATGAGTTTTGTCTTAAAATATTTAGTGAAGAAACATACTTTGAAGGCGAAAGAATAGACCTTGTAGAAATAATTTGGTTTAAAATATTTTCACATATTTACCTGTAGAGAGGATATTTTTCTCAATTAAAAAGTATAAATGCGGGCGCCTGGGTGGCTCAGTGGGTTAAGCCTCTGCCTTCGGCTCAGGTCATGATCTCAGGGTCCTGGGATCGAGTCCCGCATCGGGCTTTCTGCTCGGCGGAGAGCCTGCTTCCCCCTTTCTCTCTGCCTGCCTCTCTGCCTACTTGTGATTTCTCTCTCTGTGTGTCTAATAAATAAATAAATAAAAATCTTAAAAAAACAAACAAACAAACAAACAAAAAAGTATAAATGCAGGGAAGAGGTAATTGAAGGTAGTGATGATTTCAAATTGACTAGGCATAAAAATTAACTTTGAAGGAGATTATGGGCAGTTTTATGAAAAATTAAAAATGACAAATTGAAAAAAATTTTTCTTCAAAAAAATGCCAATGATAAAAAATTAAGACCAATATGTGACTTAACAAAGTCAATTAAATTTTTAAATAGAAACAAAGAATAGAAAAAGAACCTGAAGAATGTTTTGTTTAACGTATGTTTTAATATCCAGATAATCATAATGATAAGGTTTTTAAATTTTTTTGTTTTAATGTACGTAGGTATGTCATTTTTTGAACAAATTCTGTTCATTTTTTGATATGTATTTTTGACTTTTTCGTTTAAGCTAATTGTTTATAGAAAAGTTGCAAAGTTAGTATAAAGACATTGTGTGTACTCTACAGATTCACTAATTTTTAATATTTTGCCTCATTTTTCTATGTACATATTCTATATGTATGTATACATATTCTTATTTTGTATATACATATTCTTATTTTCAGACCATTTGAGAGTAGGTTGAGTGTACCATATCCCTTTAATACTTAATTATGTAGAAAGAATTTTAGTTGCTTTTTTTTTTTTAAGATTTTATTTATTTATTTGACAGACAGAAATCACAAGTAGGCAGAGAGGCAGGCAGAGAGAGAGAAAGGGAAGCAGGCCCCCTGCTGAGCAGAGAGCCCAATGTCGTGGGGCTCTATCCCAGGGCCCTGGGACCTGAGCCGAAGGCAGAGGCTTTAACCCACTGAGCCACCCAGGCACCCCGAGAATTTTAGTTTTAAAAATAGTGTTGGAATTGAGCTGTCTTATAGGTTAACCATTGTAATGAAACAAAGCTGTTATTCAGTAAATAAATATTTCAAAAAATTGTATCATTTCGGTTATCTTAGTGTTCCCTTTTATCCTCAGAAGTGTCATAGGCTAGGCAGTCATTATTAGTATGGTCACTCTAACAATAAGGACACTCAGTAAATATTTGTTGAGTGATTGAGTCGGTGCCTTCTGTTTCCATTGTTCTCTTTCAGCTCTGTGGTGGTGATGACCAGTGTGTTGTGAAATCGTATGATCTACATTCACTTCCTCTGTGCCAAATACATGCCTATCAGAATAATGTGTGTGTGTGTGTGTGTGTGTGTGTGTGTGTGTGTGTGTGTGGCTTAGATGTTGAGAAGAAATGTGGTTGTTAAAGAATATATTTTATTTTTTTATTTTATTTTTTAAAAGATTTTATTTATTTATTTGACAGAGAGAGAGAGAGAGAGACATCACAAGTAGGCAAAGAGGCAGGCAGAGGAAGAAGGAGCAGCAGGCTCCCCGCCAAGCAGAGAGCCAGCTGCGGGGCTCAATCCCAGGACCCTGAGATCACAACCTGAGCCCAAAGCAGAGGCTTAACCCACTGAGCCACCCAGGTGCCCCTAAAGAATATATTTTAAACACCTAAAGATGTCAGAATACTTTTTGTAAGACTTGGTGTGCCCCAGGGCATATTTAGAATCATGGCATTTGGAGATGAGATTGACCTAGACACACAGCATCTGGTCCAGCCACTTATCTATGGAAGAGAAAACTGATGCTTACAATTAGGCCATTAAAAAAGTGGGACACCAGGGTGCCTGGATGGCTCAGTCGGTTTAGTGTCAGACTCTTGATCTCAGCTCAGGCCTTGATCTCAGGATCATGAGTTCAGAGCCTGTGTTGGGCTCCACACTGGGCATGGAGCCTACTTAAAGGAAAAAAGAAAAAAAAAAAAAAGTGGGGCATTACCTCATGATCCCTTGCCTAATGTTCCTAAAACCTCAGAGATTTTCTTAGCGAGCAGCTTGGTAATGAGTTATCAGAACTACATTCTCTATTTTGTGACCATATAGTAAATGTGTTCACCAACAAAAACAAGGGGCAAAGCCTTTTTGTTTTTTGTTTGTTTGTTTGTTTGTTTTTTAACCTTAAGGGGAGATGTGAGGGCTTAATTTTTTTTTTTTTTTTTAAGTTTTGAAGCCAAGGAAATTGTGCTAGGTATGAAAGAACTTCAGATAATTTTGATATTCTTTTAAAAAGTTCTTAAAATGCAGTAAGTGGTCATCTGTTTATTCTCCTTTTCCTTTTAGTATTCTGAGGTAGCCAATAACTTCATTGAAGAATGTGAACAAGCTGAACGACTTGGAGCGGTGGATGAATCTCTGAGGTTTGATTTTTTTTCTTTTGTTGCAGTAGTATTTTTTTTTTTTTCCTTGTGAAATGGTAACTTTAAGAAAAGGGTAACAGTACCTGTTTTCTTTATTTGAAGTGAGGAAACACAGAAGGCTGTTCTTCAGTGGACCAAGCATGATGATTCCTCAGACAACTTCTGCGAAGCTGATGGTATAACAGTTTTCATAGTGTGCATTTTGTTTAAAATTGGGTTTAATTTTAAATTTGTTGTTTAAAATGGCTTTTAGAACTCAGTTTCTAAGGTTAGGCAGTTCGTCAAAAAGCTAAAGACAATTACAGTATGACCTAACAATTCAGCTCCTAAATATGTACCAAAAAAACCTGAAGACAGGGTAACACATACTTGTATGCCCGTATTTGTGGCAGCATTTTTCACAATGGCCAAAAGGTAGAAATGACCCAAATATCCATCAACAAATGAATAGAAAAGCAGAGTATAATAAATACATACAATGGAATATTATTTAGCCATAAACAAAGTTTTGGTATGTGCTGCAACATGGATAAACCTTGAAAATACTATGCTAAATGAAATAAGCCAGACACAAAAAGGCAACTATTGTGTGATTCCATTTACATAAAATATCTAGAATAGGTAAGGTGATAGAGACAGAGTAACCAGAGGTTAGGAGAAGGGGAGAATGGGGCGTTAATATTTAATGGTTAGAGTTTCTGTTTGAGGTCATAGAAAAGTTTGGAAACAGTTAGTGGTGACGGTTGCACAATGTTGTGAATATAATTAATGTCACTGGATTCTACTTGTAAACATGGTTAATATGGTAAGTTTTACATTACATACATTTTACTGCAGTTAAAGAAAAACAAACTGCCAGTTTCTGGAAAAAATTTACCTCCTGAGTTTGAGTATTACTGTTTTGTGTATCTCAGATATATGTGTGTGTGTGTTACTTACTTATTATATATATATATATGATTTTGTAATATATATAGGCATTTTGCATAAATAGCTCAAATGTAGAGATTGAGATTGCAAAACCTTGCTTCTGTTGTACTGGCCTTGGGTTATTGCATATTTTCCTTGATGATGGTGTGCGTTACTTTTGGAAAAGAGAAGAAAGAACCATGAGTTAAATCTGAGACAATGGGATGCTGGGCCAGAGTTCTGGGACTGTTCAAATCTAGGATCCCTAGGATGCATTAGAACCCTTTAATCAGATTTATGGATTCTCCTATTCTTCCTTTTTCCAAGTTGAATTGTTAGCCTTTTAGTTGGCTAAACAAATCAAATCCACCTGAGTTTTGGTATCCTTCATGGCTCTTTTGAAGCAGATTAATGATCTTTAAAAAATAAAATTAGCAAAAAGAATGATACAGATAATTTTAATTGCAAGTGAGAGACAGATCCTGCAATTCTCCAAAAAGAGGAAGACAGAGAGAAAGTACTTATTTTTAACTTTGTGGTTTCATTTTGGGAAAAAAAAAAGAGAAACACATGTTTTCCTTAACGTAACAGGATTATGCCTTGGCAAATAATATTTATAATCCTCTATTCCTAATTCCAAAATCTGAAAACTCTGAAAAATGAATATTCCCCCCTGAGTTTAGCACAGACTCATTTAGTGTGAATATTCACAATAATTATTCAGTATATGTTGCATACACTATAATACTTTTCTAAAATCTGAAAAGTTCTGAATTCCCGAAACATAGGCCCCAGCAATGTTGGATAGGGAGTTTTGGACTTACACCAAGTTTTAGACTAGAAAAGAAGGGGGATAAAATGCGCCAAGAGGTGCCTGGGTGGCTCAGTCCTTAGTTGTCTGCCTTTGGCTGAGGTCATGATCCCAGGGTCCTAGGATTGAGCCCCGCATTCGGCTCCCTGCGTAGCAGGAAGCCTGCTTCTCCCTCTCCCACTCCCCTTGCTTGTGTCCCCTCTCTCACTCTCTCTCTCTGTGTCTGTTAAATAAATAAAATCTTTAAAAAAGAAATGCTCTCCCAGCCTTTAACTTTACAGTCTCTTTTCCACAAGGATTCTTTGGCCTGAATATTACTATGAGATAAAATTAAACTCTTAACATGCAGCACATTTTTTTCAGACCTGCAGTGTTAGAGAAAGAACAGTAATACTTTAATTTCATTTACCAAAGTGTACTTTTGAGACTACCTGCTTAGATTTGTGTAGCAAGGACTGAGAATCTGTTCCATGAATCACTTGTCCATTCATACTTGTTTCTTCTGTTACGGTGAATATTTTTAAAAAGGATAGCTTTATAAGGAAGAAATTATGTATGTAAATGGTAGGTAGAAGACAGAAGATATGTTGTGAGTTTTAATTAGAAATTTGAGCTTTTGTCATCTGGCGAAATATGGCTATAGTAACAATTTTTTTTTTTTAAAGATTTTGTTTATTTTTGACAGACAGAGATCACAAGTAGGCAGAGAGGCAGGCAGAGAGAGAGAGGGAAGCAGGCTCCCTGCCAAGCAGAGAGCCCTATGCAGGGCTTGATCCCAGGACCCTGGGATCATGACCTGAGCCGAAGGCAGAGGCTTAACCCACTGAGCCACCCAGGCGCCCCTATAGTAACGATTTTTTTTTTAATATTTTATTTATTTATTTGTCAGAGAGAGAAAGGGAGAGAGAGCGAGCACAGGCAGACAGAATGGCAGGCAGAGGCAGAGGGAGAAGCAGGTTCCCTGACGAGCAAGGAGCCCGATGTGGGACTCGATCCCAGGACGCTGGGATCATGACCTGAGCCGAAGGCAGCTGCTTAACCAACTGAGCCACCCAGACGTCCCATATAGTAACAATTTTTAAAACTTTTTATTTATTTACTTAGAGCAAGTGAGAGAGCACGAATGGTGAGAAGGGGCAGAGGGAAAGGGAGAAGCAGACTCCTCACTGAGCAGGGAGCCTGATGTGAGGCTTCATCCCAGTCTGGAATCATGACCAGAGCCAAAGGCAGTTGCTTAACTAACTGAGCCAGCCAGTTGCCCCAGTAACAATTATTTTTTATTAAAAAGTTGAGGCAAGATGAAGTATTTGTTATAAGTAAAATTATGAGTCAACTAATACTTATATCTAATTAGGCAGAATATTAAAAATTTAATTATTTCTTTGTAATTTTTCTGTCTTAAAGTACTAGATGCTAGCATTATTTATATGTTTTAAAAGTGAGGGCTATTTTTTATGAATTTATTATAATTTGCTATACTGTGGCGATACTTGAGTTGAACAGAAATATCTGTTCCTGAACCAGAGGATCCCATACAAATTTGTTCTACTATTTTTTTTTTTTTTTAAGTAATCTCTATACCCAACTTGGGGCTTAAATTAACAACCTGAAGATCAAGAGTCACATGCTTTACTGACTGAACTAGCCAGGTGCCCCTGTTTTGAAGTTTTGTTTCTGCTTTCTCTAGTTACTTTGTCACTTCCGCATGGACTCTCAGTTATTTCTAGATGCTATCACTGTGCTACTTCTAGAAGCCAAATTTCCCCTAATTTATGTCTCTAGTGTATTGTCAATTGGGATAAAAATAACCATGCTTAGTTTTATTTTTGTTTTTGTCATTGTGTTTTTAATAAGAAATAGGTACTTTTGAGAGCCTAATGGACTTTCTTAAAAGCACCTGTGTGCTCAGATTTTTGTCATCTGCTTTAGTTGCTTTGAGGCCATTTTTGCCTACTTCATTTTTTTAATAAAGATTTTATTTATTTATTTGACACAGAGAGAGTGATCACAAGCGTGCAGAGAGGCAAGCAGAGAGAGAGTGGGGAAGCAGGCTCCCCGCCGAGTAGAGAGCCTGATGCGGGGCTCGATCCCAGAACCCTGAGATCATGACCTGAGCCGAAGGCAGAGGCTTAACCCACTGAGCCATCCAGGTGCCCCACGCACTTCATTTTTTGTTGGTTCATGTTGTTAAGCTTTACAAATGAGTAAGATATTACTGTATATTAAATAATTTCCCGAAGCTACTGGAAAACAAGGGGCCATTTTTTTGTTTCAAAGATAAAATACGTTATACAAAATTTATAGGACATATGAGTAACCAGCATCTCACCAATTTTTGTATGGTTTTCATTGGTATTTGTAGTGGACTTTTCTAGAATACTTACCTTTTCATTTTATTAGACAGCCTTTGTACTTAAGAGTTTTGTTGATTATAAAATGTAAGATATATCATAATACCACTAGCTAATATGTATTGAACTCTTACCGTGGTTCCAAGGACTCTACACATATAAACTTACCTAAGTCTCATGGTAATGCTGAGTATTAGCTCCACTTTATAAATGATGGCACCAGTGCATTGAGAACATACGTAAGTTGCCCCATGTTCCACATGAAATAAGAAGTAGGGCCTGGATTCTCACCCAGGCAGTCTGGCTACAGAGCCCCATGTGCTGGTCTGTTGGACATAGAGGTTGCTTCTTATTTTCCCTTTTATAAATAATGCTGATGCAAGTATATTCCTGCTTATAACTTTTTGCATGTTTAGGATTGTACCTTTGGGACAGCTTTGTGGTGGATCTTGACGGTGGTCTTGTAAGAAGGAAGTTTTTGGTAATGGTGTGTGGTAGTAATACATCTTCATCTACCCCGGTTGCTGATGAACTGCTTGCGGTTAAGGTGGAGGGAAAGGGAAATGAGTAGTATATTTTTCATCTGGACAGCTTATGAGAATCAAATTACCGTGTTTCTTTGATTCTAAAATTCACGCATTCCTATTTACCATTTTTAAAAGTTTGCAACCAGTGAGTACATTTTAATGTGGCTGTGCCTTCTTCTTCTCTCATCTTTCTTTCTTTTTTTTTTTTTAAAGATTTTATTTATTTATTTGACAGATCACAAGTACGCAGAGAGGCAGGCGGGGAGGGTGGGGGTGGAAGCAGGCTCTCTGTTGAGCAGAGAGCCTGAAGCGGGGCTGGATCCCAGGACTCTGGGATCATGACCTGAGCCGAAGGCAGAGGCTTTAACCCACTGAGCCACCCAGGCGCCCCTTCTCTCATCTTTCTTGTAAAAGGTTGTATTTAAAGTCTGGATGCACTTGTTAAATTTGTGGTGCCTTAGAATCAGTGGGATATAGTCTGTTATACAATTTTTTTAAGTAAGTGAAGAAAAAGGTTGAATGAAACATTTCATTTTACAGACATACAGTCTCCTGATGCTGAATATGTAGATTTGCTCCTTAATCCCGAGCGCTACACGGGTTACAAGGGACCAGATGCTTGGAAGATTTGGAATGTCATCTATGAAGAAAACTGTTTTAAGTATGTGTCACTTTCATTTAGAAAATCCTGACAGAGTGATTTTTATTTATATATCAACAAATCAACAAATCATAATGACTCTAAATTGCAAATCACATTGACTTTGTTAAAGGATGTATTTGGACATAGAAACATTCTTACTCATTAATCCAGTTCTCCTCTGGGAAAACATGTGGACATGAGTTTCAACAAATATTTTTTTCTTCTTCAAAAGACACAGACGTAGAAAAATAAATAAAAAACTCTTTAAAAAAATAAAGTAAAAGACATAGAAAAAAATAAAAGACAGTGACTAGTATAGGACTTTTATGGGAGTCTTGTAGACATTTCACAGATGTTCCTTCAGTGGATTATATAATCTCATTTTACAGATGAAATAACCAGGAGCCAGCCAGGTTTACTTCATTTTCCAGGATCCTAAACTTAGTAGTAGAGAATAAGTGACTCCTAAATCTTTTTTTGGTGCTCTGTATTCATCTTTTTGAGGTTCTGGTTATTTTACCTGCTTTCAAGTTTAAGTTAGATTAATTTCAGAGAATAATTATAATAGGTAACACTTGAACACTCACGGTGTGCCAGACCTACATTTTCTCTTTTAGTCCCTGCAATAGCCCTTGCCACTGTTGTAGTTGTCACTGTTTACAGATGGAGAAACATGAGACTTGGAAGGGTTAAATGATTTTTCCTGTGTCAGTCTAGTAAGTGGAAGAACCCATTTTGTATTCTTTACTGCTACCATGGAAATAGTCAATTTGATCACTGTGTGACTGGGACATGCTTCAAGTTTACATGCCTCTTGGAAGCCTCTGGCCTCTAACCAATGTGCTTATTGGTTTTTGGAAGGAATTTGTGTGTGCATTTGCATTATACTGTCTCAGAGATGGGGCGAGTTCTGGGAAAATGGAGTTCATAGATAAGGTAGTAATACATTTCACTTTGCGTTAAGTCAAATATAAGGGATAAGCAGTTATGCTTATACCAGAAAAATGTGTTTCTTTTTTTTGACTTGAAGAACTTCTCCAGTTTTAAAGTGGATAATTTTCATTATTTACTCATTTCTGCCATGTGTTTCATTTAAATTCCCTGGTTTATTATTAAGAATGTTTGACTTAATTGGCTTTTTTTTTTTTAAGATTTTATTTACTTATTTGACACAGAGAGAGAGAGAGAGACAGCTAGAGAGAGAACACAAACAGGGAGTGGGAGAGAGGGAGAAGCAGTCTCCCTGCTGAGCAGGAAGCCAGACACGGGGCTCAACCCCAGGACCCTGGGATCATGACCTGAGCCGAGAGCAGGCACTTAACAACTGAGCCACCCAGGCACCCCTTAATTGACTTACTTTAAGGTTTTTTTTTTCTTTTGCTTTGCTTTAGATTTTATGTTTAAGTAATCTCTAGACCCAACTTGGGGCTGTAACTTACAACCCCAAGATACAGAGTTGTATGCTCTACTGACTGAGCCTGCTAGGTGCCCCTAAAGGGTCTGTTTTTTTTTTTAATGTGAACTAAAATAGACTCAACAGAAGCATTTGTTGGATTTTACATTTGTATTATAGTTATTTCTTAACTAATTTATATCATGATTCCCAGTATAAATATTTCTAAAATATAAACAATATATGAGGCACAAAACTGAGTATGATATAATACAGCTTACATGTTCTGTTCTCAAAGTGTCTCAAGTTGTGCAAGTTCGTAAAATTTAAACTGCAGACAAAGCAGTCCCTACACTTTAGTAGTGTTACTAACAAATACTTAGTTTGAGATTTAAAGGCACTTCAGTGACATTAAAAAAATTTTTTTTTTAACTTTAGTGACATTTTAACTCCTTTTTTCATATTAAAAAAATGCCTTTTACTGAAATCCTAACAGACTTGTTGGTGGCCACAGGATCAGTTGACATATCTAAGATTTACAAAGTGGAAAATAATCTACCCAGAGTGTTTTTTCCCTTTTTATTTTCGTGCTTCGTTTGGGTATTTATATTTCTTGTTTGTCTTTCAGTCAGGAGTGCACTTTGTGCCACATGCAAACACACGTATGTGTACACGGATATATGTATTGTAACATATTTAAAAACATTAGTGACTCTGGGAGAAGAGCTTGACTCGGTGTAGTCTTCCTTTGAGGAAGTGATTAAGAAATGGCTTTTTGGCTGCTACAATGGGAAAAGATCAGAAACTATTGCTAAGACAAATAACAACTACCCTCCCTTAAAGCAATTTGAGAACACTAAATGTTTTATAAGCTCAATAAAACAGTTTGATTTTGGATGTAGTCATTAAGCAATTATCTCTCTGAGATAATTTCACTTTTACCTAGATAATTATAACAAGATAGGTAACATAATTATATTTTACAGTTTAATTCTTTCGTTTCTAGGCCACAGACGATTAAAAGACCTTTAAATCCTTTGGCTTCTGGTCAAGGTGAGTTATTTATTTGCACTGTTATATTATTTATCAGCCAGTGAACTTTGGTTAGAAGGAAGAGGAAGGCCAGATAAGGGTTTTGGCAAGAGCATTTGAGGTCATATATTCCCGTTTCCATAGAAGTTATACCTCACCCTTACAGACAAGTTGGTGTTTAAAATATTTATACCTCAGTAAGGAGTATTTGTGTAATGAAGTTCATGGTATTAGATTATCATAGGGTGGAGAGTAGGTTAAATGTTTATTCTTTTGTGCATTTTTACAAAATGTGTGTGTTTAGTTTTTACTATTTTTATTCATTTTCTAGTTAAATGAATATCCAAAAAAAATGATTATACATATTGGGAGTCTGATTTCAAATTCACACGTCTTTATATTTCATTAAGATTTTTCATTTAAGGTCTTGCCCAAATGCTGCCTTTTCTATCTTCCCTGACTCTCCTAACTGGAAGTAACCCCTTTCTCCTCATAAAGTGATATTACGTCATGTTTTGTGTCTCTTACCACCTTTCCACTGGCATTATTTTATTATTATGCATCTATTGATCTACCCTAGCACTCTGGGTATTTGGGGAGTATTTATTGGTTTCATCTCTTAATAGAGAGCCTGACACCTAACAGATGGAGTTGTTTGTTAAGTGAATGATTGATGAAAACTGCTCTCCTCATTTAATGGTCTTGTCTGCAGTTAGGAAGATCACTGTTCCTTCAGCAAATGATTATCCTCCATTTACTGTGCACTAGGCACTGTGCAGAGGCAGAGGGGGTGTGAAATTGCAACTCAGAAACCCTGCTCAGTCTGTAATAGGCAGAATGGTTTGTTGAATAAACCATTTCAGTGCTATGATTTCAGACTTTTTGCTTAGGAAATATATATCCCTGTTCTCATAATATGTGCTTACTGATGAAATCTTTGGTGTGCTTTTAGCAAATGTGTGAGTTTTTCATTTTTAAAATTTATTTGAAAAGCTGCTGATCTCATATAGTCAATAAACATAAATTTCCTCCTGGAAAGCAATGAGATTGCATCATTCCCTAAATGTTGGCAGCCTAGGCTTTCTTAGATTAGAAATGAAAGAACATCTTTAAAGAAGAGTTTGGGTTTATCTGAGTCACATATGGTAACCCTTTGGAAGCTATTGATTTAATATCAGATGAGTGCAAATTCCTAGGTAAGGGGTGATCCTCAGTATGAACTCACATTATGATCTGATTAATTAACTACCCTCACTTATCATGAAGATAAATGGGAACAATTTAAATATTTATCATTAAGGAGCTGGTTAAATGATTCACCGTATGTTCATGGAGTAAAATACACCACTAGAAATATTGCTGAAAATTTGTGTTCATTTAGGTCAGTAATGACCAATAGCACGTTGAAGAAAAGAAACAGGCATCAAATCGTACGTATATTTTTGTAAAAACATACTTATGTTTTGTAAAAACATAATATCTAAATGTCTATATGCGAAGAAAAAGGACATTTACCAAAGCATAAATGGTATTATCTAGGGCAGAGGGAGTTCAGATGACATTTTTTATTTCCTCTGTGTCTTCTTTTTTTTTAAACATGTATTTGCAGTTAGCATATGTATTTTAATAATCAAACAATGATGGCATTAAATAAGCATGGGCAAAATGAAGACAGTTTTTTAAGAGTAAATGAACAGCTGCTTACAAACTGCTGAATGGTGCATAATTTGAATCTTCACAAATTGTCTTTTGAAATATTCCTGAATTAGGTAAAATTTTACAGTGTCAGTCTAGAGGTTTCAAAGCAAGAATAATTTTTTAGCAGAAACCATATTATAGATTTAGAATAAATAAACGTGAAAAAAGGCTCTGCCAACCAAATAACTGTTAAGTCCTTAAGGTATTTGAGAGTACTCTCAGATGATAGGTTAGATTTTTCTCTCCCTTCAGCCTGTATTAAATCTTGTGTGAGCTGAAGCCACTCCTTCCCCAGGCTCTTGGAGATGATGCCCTTGAAGTGAATCAGGCATAATTCCTATTTGCCACTAGATAGGGTTGTGTCACGAGTGACTGCCTCAGATTTTGCTTATGTGCGTGAACTGATGGACTAAAACTAACTGTTATTTAAAGTCTTATTTTTTATGGAAGTATAGCATTTTAAAGTGACATCTGGAAGGACTTTATAATAATCAACCTTTTGTTTTGTTTTTCAGGGAAAAGTGAAGGTAAGTATAATTTCTTTATCATATATATATGAATTTGCTGATACATTCAGATGTTTATTTGGGAGACTGTTCTTCCTACTTCTAAGAACTCCTGTTTATCTAAAATTCAGGAGGTGAAAGCACAGGGAAAATGACTGCGCCTGGGATCAGGCCTTTACTTCTGGAGCAGATCTCTAGGATCTGCTGGGTCCTTATAGGAAGCTTTAGGCATCGATCGTCACAGTGTTGCTCTGTGGCTTCCAAGGCTTGTGTTCGCTCTTGGGGGTAGTTATTACCAACTCTGAGTTGTAATGCTAAAATTTTTAATGTATCTTAGGTTTACTTTGTCTTTGTGAGAATCTTTTTGCTTTCTGAGTGAAATTGAAATGATTTTTTAAAAAGATTTTTCTTTATTTATTTGAGAGAGAGAGAGAGAGAGTGCACAAGTGGGGGAGGAGAGGCAGGAGGAGAGGCAGAAGGAAAGCAGAAGCAGCTCCCCGCTGAGCCCGACATGATCCCAGGACCCTGAGATCATGACCTGAGCTGAAGGCAGACGCTCCACTGACTGAGCCATCCGGGTGCCCTGAAGTGATTTTTCTTATTCTTAAGGCCATGTGTTTAACCATATGAAAAGACAAAGCAGTACTTAGCTTTAATCCAGCCAGATGAAATTGCTAAAATGTGAAGTATCCCTTTCCTCTTTGGAGAGGAACATTAGTTTCTTCTGAACATTAGTTTACAAATTGCTTTTGTGGGACGCCTGGGTGGCTCAGTGGGTTAAAGTCTCTGCCTTCGGCTCAGGTCATGATCCCAGGACCCTGGGATGGAGCCCACATCTCTGCTCAGCAGGGAGCCTGCTTCCTCCTCTCGCTCTGGCTGCCTCTGCCTACTTGTGATCTCTGTCAAATAAATAAATAAAATCTTAAAAAAAACAAATTGCTTTTGTATTCTGTCTAAATAACAGAATACCAGTGTCTGATAATATTGGATTTCTTAAAATTATACTTTATGTTATAGAAACAATAACAGCTTAGTAAAATACTGGATCAGAACTATACTAGTTGGAACAGAAATTCTTTAGTATAAGATTATTCTTCCAAAGATGCCTTATATTTTATTACTGTTAGTAATGATCCTATAATTTTCAGAGGTTCCCCCCTCCTTCCTTATAATTTTTAGTTTTGAGAGATTTTATTCTACCTTGGTTAGAATACCTTGGGTATTCCTAGCTATGTTAGAGGATATTGTTTCAGTTTTTCAATATTATTTAAAGATCTCATCCTGTCTCTTATTGTCAGAGAAAAGATTGTTAACTTGTGGAGTCTATCTTTAGAGAAATCATCTTGTTTATGAGTATATTTATAATTTTTCATTTTAGTCAAATTTGAAAGAGTTATCCCTGACAGTTTTCATATCAGGTGACTAGATTCCTTTTCCCCCTGATTCATGGTCCCAAACTTGAAAAAAACAAGAAAAAACTCTAAAGGTTGTTCTTTTGTTTTTGTTTTTGTTTTTGTTTTTAAGATTTATTTATTTATTTGAGAGAGAGAGTTTGTGTGTGCCTGGGGAAGGGGAGAGGGATAGGGAGAAAGTGTCTTAAAGAGGAGACTTCCCACTGAGTGTGGAGCCTGACACTGTTCAGTCTCATGACTCTGAGATCAGACCTGCAATAAGACCAAGAGTCAAAGGCTTAACCAACCATCACCCAGGTGCCCCAACTTTGAAGGTTTTAATAAGGAGACAAATCACTTGGAATCCCATAACACCAAGAGAATTGATAATGGTAATGGCTAAGACTACATGCCAGTACTTTTCCAAGCAGTTTACAAGTATGATTTCATTTAATCCTTCCAACATTCTCAGGAGGTATTACTTTTATTTCCATTTTGTAGACAAGGAAAATAAGTGCCAAAGAGGTTTAGCAACTCAGCTAAATCATGTATGACTTGTAAGTAGCACAGTTGGAATTGAAATTAGTCAGTTTGGCTCCAAGGTCTGTTCTCAGTCACTATCTCATACTGCTTCTCCGTTAACATTGTGATAATTTAAAAAAAAAAAATCTTATTTGTCAGAGAGAGTGTGTGTGCAGGCAGAGGGAGAAGCAGGCGCGATGTGGGACTCAATCCCAGGACTCTAGGATCGTGATCTGAGCCGAAGGCAGATGCTTAACCAACAGCCACTCAGACATCCCAACATTTTAATAATTATGATTATTTACGTGCATGTATGTTTATACTAGATATATTTGTAGTTGTGTATATTGTTATCCCCATGCCTGCTTGCTTCCTTAGCCTATGTCTTGGGTCAGGCTGCTCAAACAAAATACCATAGACTGGGTGGCTTAAATGAGTTTATTTTCTCACAGTTCTGGAGGCTGGGAAGTGTAAATCAAAGCACCAGCCAGTGGATTTGATTCTTCCTAAGGCCTCTCTTTCTGGCTTGCAGATAGCCAGCCTTTCACGGTGTCCTCACTGGCGGAGAAGGAGCTCTGGTCCTTTCAGAGATCTATGAAGACACTAATCCCATCATGGGGACCCTACCCTCCTGACCTCATCTAAACCTAATCACCTCCAAATACCATCCCCTTGGGGCTTAGATCTTCAACACGTGAATTTTATCTGGAACAGTTTAGATTTCTAGAAATGGGTTTACTGCATCAAAGGTTATGGACATTTTAGGCTCCTGACTGCATTTTGTCATTGAGAGAATGTGCGAATTTGTAACCTTTCCAATCAGTGTGCCGCTCATTTTACCTGACCCTTGTCAGCATTAAGTATTGTCATATTTTCATCTTTACTGTTAAAAGTGCTATCTCTAAGATTGTAATTTGCATTTTTTATTACTAGTGAGGGGGAGTACTTTTTATATTCTTACCATTTGTGGCTTTTGTGAATTCTCTATTATTTGCCCACCTTAACTGAGCATTTGAGCATTTTTATTCAGTTTATGAGTTTTTTATGTAGAATATTATCCTTTTGGGGCACCTGGCTGGCTCAGTCGGTTAAGCAGTTGACTTTGGCTCAGGTTGTGATCTCAAGGTCTTCGGAATGAGCCCCATGTCAGGCTCTCTGCTTGACGGGGAGCCTGCCTCTCCCTCTCCCTCTGCCTGCTACTTCCCCACTCCCCCTGCTTGTGCACGCTTTCTCTCTGTCAAATGAATAAATAAATAATAAATAATTTTTTAAAAAATTTAGAAAAGCATACAATGAGTTCTTAATTTTCATAGCATCACCTGTTTTCAAGGCTAAGTAGTTTTCTTGCATTGATTTATTATTTAAATTGTGTGTTCTGACATCCTATGAAACATTTTATCTGGAAAATTACGAGATTTAGGGCTACCTAAGGCAATGCTGAAGCCTTCTAGAGACGGACCAAGAGAATGGTACTAAATTGAATCCACACCAAGAACTTTTCTCCTTCCTTTGGATAAATAGCAAATAAAATTTGGAACTTTCGTTCATTTTTAAATCACTATTTGGCACAAATTGCTGTTATATATTGAAAAACGTACACTTTGGCATTTTTACAACTTTGTGACTTCTTTTTCTTTTAATTTCAGAGAACACTTTTTACAGTTGGCTAGAAGGTAATTGGAAACTTTTAAACAAATTTAAATGTTAAACATTTTTTTCATCGTTAAAGACATATGAAATTAGTTTTAAAATGGTATGAGTTCCACATATAAGATTTCTGTTACCAAATTACTATTTTTAGGCCTCTGCGTAGAAAAAAGAGCATTCTACAGACTTATATCTGGCCTGCATGCAAGTATTAATGTGCATTTGAGTGCACGATATCTTCTACAAGGTATGTGACATTCATGTTTATTTATTTTACCATACTTATGTTTAGATATTCTTAAAATGTTTTGGTATTTACCTTAGCAAGACAAAATTGACATGATTGAATATTAGGCAGTAACTAATCATTCTTCAGTGGTAGTAATCAGGAATGTAGGAACTATAGATATTTTAAGGACATATTTAGTATGATCTCACTTCTGTTTACCTTCTTTTTTTTTTTTTTAAAGATTTTATTTATTTGACAGACAGAGATCACAAGTAGGCTGAGAGGCAGGCAGAGAGAGAGAGGAGGAAGCAGGCTCCCTGCTGAGCAGAGAGCCTGACGTGGGGCTCGATCCTAGGACCCTGGATCATGATCTGAGCCAAAGGCAGAGGCTTTAACCCACTGAGCCACCCAGGCACCCCTGTTTACCTTTTTTAAGAAGCAGCTCAAAGCACATCGCTTTGGAAATATTCTTTTGTTTTGTTTGTGAGAGTTAAAACAGCTCCTAATGGCACGGTATGTTATTCAGTAGATACTTTCATTGTATTAAAACCGTTCTATTTGTGTGCCAACGTAAGGCCTGGAGTTTAACGGGTTAAAAAGTATTCTCTGCTGTTCTTTGTGCTTTAAAAATGCTTTGGCAAAACAAGGCCATGGTTGAGTTTCATCAGTAACCTGTTTCTTCTGGAATTTTAAAGGACTTCAGACTTATCAATAATGTCAGGCAGTCATTTTTAAATTGTGTATTTTGGTTTTATAAATATGTTTATATTCAGAAATTTGATTTCTGTGAGATCATACTTCTCAGTAAAACAGTGAATTTATTTTCCTTCTAAGGATGGGTTCTAGAAGATAAAATATTAATGTAGAACCATAAAAATCTATATTATGAAAAGCAGCTTTCATTGTTCTGTATTTTCAAATATATAATGAAACTAACTTCTCTAGAAAAAATAACTCAATGTAAGTAAACCGAAACTTAATTTTAAAATTCAGATTTTAATATTTAATTCTTCTTTCTTCTCAGAAACTTGGTTGGAAAAGAAATGGGGACACAACGTTACAGAATTTCAGCAGCGATTTGATGGAATTTTGACTGAAGGAGAGGGTCCAAGAAGGCTTAAGAACTTGTATTTTCTCTACTTAATAGAATTAAGGGCTTTATCTAAAGTGGTACCGTTCTTTGAGCGCCCAGATTTTCAGCTCTTCACTGGAAATAAAATCCACGATGCAGAAAACAAAATGCTACTTCTGGAAATACTTCATGAAGTCAAGTAAATTACATATTTTGATTCGTACAACTTATTAATAGAAGAGTGACAAGTGGTATCAAAGTTCAGGTCTTAAATATTCAGTTTAGAGAAAGGAAAAAATTTTTTTAAAGATTTTATTTATTTATATGAGAGAGAGAGAGAGCATGAGCAGGAGGAAGGGGCAGAGGGAGAGGGAGAAGCAGACTCCTGGCTGAACACAAAGCCCTACATGGGACTTGATCCCCTGACCGTGAAATCATGGCCTCGGCTGAAGTCAGATGCTTAACCAACTGAGCCACACAGGCATCCCAAGAAAGGAAAATTATTAAAAAAAAATAATTAAAAGCTAATTTTGCCTATAGGTCTTTTAGAATTGAGTTTTGTTTTTGTTTTGACTTAGGTACTAAGTGGCACAAATTTTTAGTTTTGAGAATCATTTTGTAGTATTTGATACCTGCATTCTTTTCTTTTCTTTCTTTCTTTCTTTTTAAAAAATATTTTGTTTATTTATTGAGAGAGAGAGCATGTGAGAGAGAGCAAGCAGGGGGAGGGGCAAAGGGAGAGGGAGAAGAAGGCTTTCTGCTGAATTAGGAGCTGATGCCGGACTCAATCCCAGAAACTTGGGATCATGACCTGAGCCAAAGGCAGATACTTAACTGACTGAGCCACCCAGGTGCCCCCCTGCATTCTTTTCATATGTGGTTGAACGTACTACTATTTTATGTGGTTGTTTAAGACTTTGTTTTGGGGCAACAGAGTGTTGATTTTACTTGATTTTCTACTCTTTTTTATTATAGTATTCATCGCCAACCAGCAAAATGTTATCTTAGAGGTATTTTTAATATTTTACAATACCTGAAAATGAATCTTCTCTGTTTTAACCTGTAGGTCATTTCCTTTGCATTTTGATGAGAATTCCTTTTTTGCTGGGGATAAAAAAGAAGCAAACAAACTGAAGGTAATTATTTCACATTGTCTTTTTTTAAAAAAGATTTTATTTATTTATTTGACAGTCAGAGATCACAAGTAGGCAGAGAGCCAGGGAGAGAGAGGAGGAAGCAGGCTCCCTACTGAGCAGAGAGCCTGATGCGAGGCTCGATCCCAGAACCCTGAGATCATGACCTGAGCTGAAGGCAGAGGCTTTAACCCACTGAGCCACCCAGGCACCCCAATTATTTCATATTTTAACTTAAGTTTTAGATTCAAACTCGTATGCAGATTTGAATATAAACCCCATGTTTTTGTAGTTAACAATAAATCTTATTCTGTATTAGGAAATGATAAGAAAAGCCAGAGTCATAATCATTCTTTTCCTCTAAAAAAGGAAGTCCTAAGGCAGGCCAACTTAAGATCTAGTTTGTGTTGTGTTCAAAGTAACAAAGTGTGTCACTGCACACTTTACAGATGGCTTTCATATCAATGGTCTCATCACAAATAAAAGTTATAAATTAAAGGAAAGGGATCCAGAGCCTGAATGGCAGTATTTGTCTTTTGCTGAGGAGAATTCTGAAAATGGCTTTGGATAGAGTAAAGCCATTTAGGGGGGGACAAGGGCCCAGGATTTGTTACTCATCTTATTTATCGGGAATGAAAGGTATTTAGGGAGGCCAGAAGAAGAGAAGACATGATGCCCTACAAAATAGAGAGATTAATCTCTTACCTAGAGGTATAAGCTCATACAAGACCATCTTGGTGTATATTGGCATCAAAATCCTACAAATATAAAATATTGCTAGGAAGACTTATTAAACACTCACTATGTGCAAAATATGATTCCTGTCATTAAAGGAAGGGACAGCTCCTAACCTCAGTGGATTTCTACTCTGTTTGGAGACTCAAGTAAAATTGTATTACCATTCTCTGTTACAAAGCTAAAGTAAGTAAAGGCAGGTCGCTCTCAGGAGCACTGGGCTTGAACTGATTTCTTCAGAGTATGACAATATGCCTCTGTTTTGTATTCTTTGTTTCCTTCTGTAAGGAAAGAACCTGATTTTATGCAGTTTGCAAACAATACTTCTTGCACTGATTCTTTTGCTGTTAAATAATAGTTATTTTTGATCTCCCATCTACCTCCTACAGAAAGCATTCTTGCTAGAAATACATACTTCATGCTTATATAACCTGCCAGGCAGCTTCCAGGAACTTGGAAGTGAGGGGGAAGATACTGTAATAAGACTTTTTTTGTCTACTAGTTTCACTTTCTTCCTTATTTTTAGTACACTTGCTGGTTTATTGGAAAGTGTTTTGGCATCAACTCTTTTTATATTGTGCCGATTAGAAATATTGCTCATGATGTTTTAATTTTATCAAAACTCAAAAACACTCAGATTTGATGTTTAACATATAATTTTAACAGATAATTTTTCTGAATTCTTTTATAATAAAGAAGTAAAACTTGTTAATATCAGAGATTTACTTTCCTAAGAAAAAGTAGTTTTATGGTGAACATCATGGATTTGAACAGTAACATGAGTTTTATTTATTTATTTATTTTTAAATATTTTTAAATTTTATTTTTATTTATTTTAAGTAATCACTGCACCCAAGGTGGGGCTCAAACTCATTACCCTGAGATCAAGAGTCACATGCTCTTCTGACTGAGCCAGCCAGGTGCCCCGAGTTTTATTTTTTTATAATTAGCATAGATTGTTATATTAGTTTCAGGTATATTATAAGTTCATTTAAAAATATCATCTTTTTTTTAAAATTTTATTTATTTATTTGACAGACAGAGATCACAATTAGGCAGAGAGGCAGGCAGAGAGAGAGGAAGGGAAGCAGGCTCTGAGCAGAGAGCTCGATGCAGGGCTTGATCCCAAGACCCTGGGATCACGACCTGAGCCAAAGGCAGAGGCTTTAACCCACTGAGCCACCCAGGCGCCCCTAAAAATCTCATCTTGTCTGCATTATACTCTATCCATGGATGGTTAGAAATTGAAGATGGTATGGGGTGCCATAATAAACTTCCAGCTTATTAATTGGGTGTTGCGTATTAAGTTAACTTATGCATTTGTACTTGGTTTTAATCTTGCAGTGTTATTTTGGCGATCATAAGCAGCCATGCTTACTCTCTGTGTGCGCCGGACAGAGATTTACTCAAGAGGTGCCGTGTTCAAGTGTTTGAATTAACAAACATAACCACATACCGAATTTAGACAATGTCTACAAAAACAAGCATGGTCTTGTAGAACAGAAGCTTTCAACTTTTACAAGTGTGAGAGTCTCTAAAGTCAAAAACTTTCAAAGCCTCTCCTCATGGTAGCAGTATTTTTAGTATCTATTAATCAATAGATGTAATTGCCAAAAGGCCGCTATACATTTAGAAACCTTTTTTCAAAAGATTTTATTTATTTGAGAGAGAGAGAGTGCTCACAAGCTGGGGAAGCAGCAGGCAGAGAGAGGGGGGAAGTAGGCCCCGGGGTGAACAGGGAGCCTGTTGTGAGACTTGATCCCAGGACCCTGGGATCATGACCTCAGCTGAAGGCAGATGCTTACCTGACTGAGCCACCCAGGCGCCCCTTAGTAACACTTTTTAAATAAAAGCTGTGTTTTATTGATCATAATATTTATATTCATTTGGAAATTTATAGTGCATACCTGTGACTTATTTATTCTGTCTGCATGCAGTGCTTGTCTACATATGAATTGTTCAGGTCTGTATAATAACTATTAAGTCCTCCAGAGGTCAGCAACTCATAGGATGGGAACATTGACTTTAGAGTAATTTTACTATGCTGTTATTATTGTTAAAAGTGTATTTTGTTTTTTTTTAAGTCGAAACACAAGTTTAAAGGAAGCCTTAAATTACCAAAATTTTAGTAGTATCACGGGGTAAATGTTTTTTAAAAGTTGGTTTAAAGTTCAAATTACCGGGGCACCTGGATGGCTCAGTGGGTTAAGCCTCTGCCTTCAGCTCAGGTCATGGTCCCAGCCTCCTAGGATCGAGCCCTGTATCAGGCTGTCTGCTCAGCAGGGAGCCTGCTTCCCCCTCTCTCTCTGCCTGCCTCTCTGCGTACTTGTGATCTCTCTCTGTCAAATAAATAAATAAAAATTAAAAAATCTTTGAAAAAAAATTCAAATGACCTCCTACTGAACTCCGTCCAAAAGCACAGAAACACAAGATGTAGAATATTGTTAACATGTGGTAATAATTAATATTAATAATATGAGCATTGTATTAAATTAATACAATATTTGTATGAATAAAGATGCAAGATCTGGGATCCATTAAAAATCTTTTATATAATACGGCTGTTTCAGAGTCTCAAGCTGAATAAAGCATCTGGGAAAGAACTGTCCCCAAAATGAATTGAGGTCTACTTTGAATAGTGGGTACCAATCTTTGCTGATTTATTCCTATTTTTAGATCTTTGGTCCTGCTCTGTTCTGGTTGAGCCTGGTATGTGGTTTATTACTAAAAAAGAGAGAGAGAGAGAAACACTACATGATCCTCAAATTGTAGGCTGATTGATACAGTGGATTTTCAATCAGAAATATATGTCAAGGGGCACCTGGGTGATTCATTCAGATGTAGGACTTTTGACTGTTGGTTTTGACTCAGGTCATGATCTCAGGGTCATGGGTTGGAGCCCTGTTTGGGGCTCTACTCTCAGCACAGTCTGCTTAAGTTTCTCCCCCCGACCCCGTTCCTTCCCCCACCCCTGCTAGTGTGCTCTCTCTCAAGTGAATGAATGTATGCTTAAAATACTGTAAGTCTGAGATGCCAATGCAAGTCAAGGACAGAGGGAGTCACTTGGTGGATCAGTTAATTTCCACTGGTAAAAGAAGGGTGTGTCCTTGTTGTCCCTTCTTTTTTACTTATCCCTTAAGGACATATACTACTTTTGGATGAATTGGATTCATTTTGTCCAATTACAAACAACATAGTACCTTAGTGTACATAGATATATACATATGTATTAAAAGTATAAAAAAAAGGAACGATAAACACCAAATTCAGAATAATTATAGAGGGTAGGGTATAGGACTTTCGAGGGGTACATAGAGGGCTTCGTGGTACTTGTAACGGTTTCTTTCTCAAGATTGGTAAAATGTACATGGATGTTCACTATATTCTGTATATTTATGTATGATAACATTAATTATATTTTAAAATAAAAGATATAATAAAATAGTATTAATAATAGTAAAATATCTGATTGTTTTACCTAATTAATACTGGGATTAAAGCAGGACGTAATAGGAGGCCATATTTTGAAATTCCTCCCTCTCTCTCTTGCACCCTCTCTTTCCTTCTTTCTCTTTTTTCTTTTTTTCCTTTTTTGGTAAATGATGCCACTCTACCCCTGTCCCCCTTCCTCTGATATTCACATGTAATTAATAATCACATAAAACAACAACAGTGGCAACAAAAACAATCAGAAAAAAACAGAACACTTCAGCTCAGATGGTGTGTATTTACAGATAGTTTAGTTTCTGAGTCAGGCAGGCCTGGGGTCTAAGTTTGCTGTTTACTCCATGTGGGAATTTGGGCAGCCTAAACTCTCTGAGCCTTGTGTTTTTAATTCATTAGGTATAGATTATAATAAATTACTTTTGGATTTGCAGTGAAGATGAAGTTGCATATGTAGATTCTGGCATGCAGAAGGTGCTCAGTGAACGTGGATTTTAATTCTCTTCATTTTCTTTGGTGCCCGCGGGGACCCCTGGCACAGTGCTAGGCACATAGAAGGCACTCAGAAAATACCTAGTGTTTGACTAGATGCTACATCTTAATAAAAATCTTGTTAAATTGTTTTTAGGAGGACTTTCGACTGCATTTTAGAAATATTTCAAGAATCATGGATTGTGTTGGTTGTTTTAAATGTCGACTATGGGGAAAGCTTCAGGTAAGCAAATCTGGTTCAGTCTTATTTTTCATTTATTCTCTGCACAAAGAAGTTTCTGACTTTTCTTTCTTTACTATTTCTCTTTTACAGATTCAGGGTTTGGGTACTGCTCTGAAGATTTTGTTTTCTGAGAAGCTGATAGCAAATATGCCAGAAAGTGGGCCCAGCTATGAATTCCATCTAACCCGACAAGAAATAGTATCATTATTTAATGCATTTGGAAGGTGAGTTTGAAAGTAGTGAAATTGTTTCTGTTAGCCAAGTAAGTCTAAAACTGGATAAGTAATATCCTTTTTAGTGAAATTATTTCACTACCGAATTCTGTAATCTTATGAAATACCTTAAGTATATACACACAATCATCAGGTGATATTCTTTCCTTTCCTCTATTGATTTTTATAATTATGATTAATTACTGATTGGACTTCAATATTCATCTTACTGAATTTGTACATTTTTTTGTAATTATTAAAAAGTAGTTTTTGTGCTGCCCAAATATTTTTTGAAGGTCCTGGAGAAATCATGTTGTTTAATATATGCATACGTATAAAATTGATCTGCAAATTCATTATCATGTAAAAAGGTTAATAATGCTTTAAAAATAATTTTCATGAAAACGATTGGAAGATAAGCTTGAAATAAGGAACTTAGCATTACGAAATGTAGGTATAGATGCCTTTCTTTTTGGCCCATCATATGTAAAGAATGCAGAGATTTATACCAACTGATATTTTCTAAAGACTACATTTCTTTACTTTAAAAAAATTATGATTTACTATTTTGGGTTTGAAACAATTGACCTTCAGAATTATTCTCTAGTACACAAAAACTTAATAGATATGGTTCACTGAGAATTCAGAACTAAAATACACTTAGAATAGTGAACAAACTTTTTATAGTAAGTAGTGAAAACAGTTTGGTTACACATTTACTGTTCTCACTTTTTTTTGTTGTTGTTTAAGATTTTATTTATTTATTTGACAGACAGAGATCACAAGTAGGCAGAGAGGCAGGCAGAGAGAGAGAGGAGGAAGCAGGCTCCCCGCCGAGCAGAGAGCCTGATGTGGGGCTCGATCTCAGGCCCCTGGGATCATGTCCTGAGCTGAAGGCGGAGACTTTAACCCACTGAGCCACCCAGGTGCCCCCTGTTTTCACTTTTTATAGTCCAAAAGCTTTGATTCTTTGTATATTTACTAACTGTGGAACATTGATTAGTTTTCAGTATTTGTATACTTACACATATTTAAAGATTTTATTTATTTGTATATTTTAGAGTGAGAGAGCATGTGTGTACAGGGGGGAGAGGCAGAAGAAGAGGGAGACAGAATCTCAAGAAGACTCCATGCTGAGCGGGAACCCTATGCAGGGCTCGGTCTCACGTCCCTGACATCAGGACCTGAGCTGAAATCAAGAGTCAGATGCTTAACTGACTGAGCCACCCATGCACTCCAACTTATGCATATTTAAAATACATATTTTAATGCTTATGTAATTTATATTTATGCACTTTAAATACTACACGTGTGAATATACTTAGGAATACTTTAAATACCTAAGTATTTTGGGGCACCTGGGTGGCTCGGTTGGTTAAGCGTCCGACTCTTGATTTCAGCTCAGACCCTGATCCTAGGTTCATGAGCTCAAGCCCCATATTGGGCTCCACACTGGGTGTGGAACCTACTAAAAAAAAGAAAAAAAGAATAAAAATTGCCCAAGTATTTTAATATTTATATACTTTCTAATTGTGTATTTTAAAACTTTTAATACTAAGTTTTGAACACTTAAAAATAACTAACTTCAAGGCAATATTATCTTGGTTTTACCATGTCAGATTAAGAACTCAGGTACATCGGGGTGCCTGGGTGGCTCAGTCGTTAAGTGTCTGCCTTTGGCTCGGGTCATGATCCCAGGGTCCTGGGATCGAGCCCCGCGTCGGGCTCTCTGCTCAGCAGGGAGCCTGCTTCCTCCTCTCTCTCTGCCTGCCTCTCTGCCTACTTGTGATCTCTATCTGTCAAATAAATAAATAAAAATCTTTAAAAAAAAAAGAACTCAGGTACATCAAAATTGACTAAATGGTTTATGCATCTTTAAATTTATTGAAATAAATTACTTGAAAATTTTTCTGTGCTCTAAAAATGCAGTGTTGAATAACAGAGAAGAAGTATCTAAAATACCTTCTGAGTGAAATTTTTTTTTGGTTACAGAATTTCCACAAGTGTGAAAGAATTAGAAAACTTCAGGAATTTGTTACAAAATATTCATTAAAGAAAACAGAAAACAAGTTGAAACCTGCCTGTTTCTGGACTATGAAGGCCAAAGAGTGGAATTTCATTCAAAGGCATAAGAGTAATGACATTCTTAAGCCAAACATTTTATATAAAGCTGCTTTTGTAAAAGGATAATTATATTGTTTTGAGTAAACAATTTTTTTTTAATTGTGTTAAGTTTATGTATAATAGTATTGTGAGTAAAAGTAACACTTTGATGATGTGGTACAAATTTTAAAGTTTAATATTGAATAAAATCAGGATTTTCAAATTCATATATGTTAAAACTAAGTAAATGTTATAAGTCTCTCAATTTTGTGTGAGAAGATGTAATATAAATAAAACTGGGGTCAGTGTGTTATGAGCGTTTAATAGGAAAATGCTAAGGAGGCTCATGAATCATCCATAATTAACAACTTAAGAGCTTTCAGTACATTTACGGTTACCAGATTTAGTAAATAAAAATACGGAATGCCCAGTTAAATTTGAATTTCAGATAAACAATAATTTTTTTATATAAGTATGTTGCATGCAATGTTTAAGACATACTTATGCCAAAAGTTATTTCTTATTTAAAATTCAAATTTAACTGGGAGCCCTGTGTTTTATCTGGCAACCCAGAAGTACATTGATACGAAGTATGAAGTAAAAAAGTATGAGAATTATATTGCTATTTAGATTGGCTTTTTTTAGTGTGTAGAAAGATACAATGACAACTCAAAGACTTAGGGTATTTCTACACATTGTGAAAAGTTGAATAGATTTATATATTTATTCTCATAATACTTTACCTAATGCTGAATAAAATTTGGGAGAAACTTTTTATTTTTATATAATTTCAAATTTACAGAAAAGTTTCCAAGGTAGTACAAAAGAACTCTTTACCCAGATTAAGTAATTGTTCACTCGTGCTGTATCTTTCATGCTGTCTATACACATGTATACTACTTTTTCCCAAGTCATTTGGAAGTCAGTTCCAGGCATCATGCCCTTTGAACCTTAAATACTTCAGTGTGTAATACTGGATAATTTTTTTAAATGATTTTTTCTGAGGAAAAAAAAAGTGGAACTATAATACTGTAAGCCTTAGAATAAGGAATCATTTTGAGTGCCGGTGTAAATAAAGTTCTTTTTGAGTTTGTTGTCCTTTTGATGCTTGATCTATATAGTCATAGGGCATATAATTTTTGTTCTTTGTACCTGAGGTTCATTTCCTTTTTATCCCTAAAAATTAATTTTGGGAGATTTTCATTAGTGGCAGTTCTTTAATGATAAAAATATTTGAAGGGGTTTAAGAATTTTGATCACATGGTAATTGTGAAAGAAATTATAAAAGAAACTGTACCTCAAAATGATGTGTCCCCTCTTTATACTAGGAAGTTATACCATGTTGAGTTGTCACATTATTAATAAAGCAGGGTTTATTTATATGATGGTTTAGAAATACCATTTTATACTGCTGTATACTTCTTTTCTGTGTCCCTGAAGCCTGGTATATTGCCAAGTACATAGTAAGCACATGGTGGGTATCCAATAAATATTTGTTGAATGACTGTATGAATATGTATTTGGTACATCTTAAATGAAAAACCACAGAGCTGAGTTTAACAATATGTGTCATATTTTTCTCTCTCCCACCCCCAATTGAATAAGGCAGGAAAAGAATGACATTAACCTACTTATTAAGTCAATATTCTTGGAGACTCAGACTATGCCGTGAGCACCATGTGTAAAAGTTTAAAGGACATTTGTACTACTCTGAACCTGTGGTGGAAGGGTTTAAATGGCAATTTTTTCTGTATGCTCTTCTGACTCTTACGTCATGCCCTCACCCTTTTTTAAGTCAGTCTTTTTGAAAGAATATTTCTGTCATCACTTTGTCACCTCCCACTTGCTCCTTAACCAAAAATCTTGCTTTTGACTCTGTAGTCCCTAACCATTTCTTCTTTTGAAGTCAAAAATTTCAGTTCTAAATTCATAACTCAGTTCAGAAGCCATTTCTTGACTTTTTTTTTTTTTTTTTCCTGCATTTGATACTGTTGGGCAGCCCCTTCTTTAAAGATAAGCCCCTATATCCCTCCCTCAGGTTCCTTATATTTCATTCGTGGGCTTCTGGATGTGTCCTTTTTTAAGGCTTTTTTCATTTATGCCTTAAATGTTATTCCTCAGACTTTCACCACCACTTACTTCTCACTCTTGGGTAGTTATGACTCAATGATGTCCAAGTTCTTACCATTAGTCCAGACTTCTCAATCCATCTGTTTATAACATGTCTTTACTGTTGTCCCACAGATATCTGTGGGTCTTAAAATAACCATTTTCCCCCCAAATCTATTCTTATGCCTGTGATCCTTACTCTGGTTAATTTCAGAGCCATCATCATCTAAATTCTCCAGGCTCATTCCTCTGCATCTTTCCCTATCTGGTCAGTGTGTTAGCACTGTGGAGTTGATCTCCACATGTCTGATGCATTACTTTCCCTTTTCTTTGCTCTTATCTAGAGCACTACACTGGCCTGCTTCCCTGTTCCCAGACTATCTCCTCCCATACACCCCACAATACTGTCACAGTAGGCTTTCTAGAAGCACTCAAACAAGGTCCTCTGACATGTCTCCCAGTCCTGTCCCCAGCCACTATGCTTTGATAAAACACATAGTGCTTCAAATGTGCCGGGTCACCTTGGTGCATGCTGTTCTCTTTGCATCATGTGCTCTAGCCATCCTTCCCTACCTGGAAAATGCCCATTTCTCATTGCAGACCACTGTAACTCCTGCCTCTGTGAAATCGCTCTTGCTCCACTCAAGGAGTATCTTCTAATTGCCTCTCTAATATCACCACTGTAATTACAACCTACCTCTATTGTGTCACTTATTGTACTGTATTTTCTTTTAAGCCTCCTTTACTAGAATGTGAGCTCCTTAAGGGCAGGAAAAGGAACTTTACCCACTTTTGCATCTCCATAGCATATTTTTTGGCATATGAACACTTAATAAATGTTTGTTGAATAAATTGCTTTTCAGATGACAATTTTATTGTACTAGAGGTCAGACCTTCACTCCGAATATTTTTTACGACAAGAGTCAATAGATTCCCAAGGATTTATGACATTGGGGGAAGGTCAGTAAAGCTCAAAATTTGGTGTGGTTTTGGCAAGTTATGAAGCGAGTCTATTATGGAAAAAATGGTAAGAACTATTCTTTGAGGGGAAAAGGCAACAACATCACTGAAGAATTTCTTGAATCATCAAAGAATAACTGCCCAACATTATGGCCTAGCTAAATTTATTCCTGCTTAAAATTGAAGGAGAAGGAGAGCGGTGTTCTAAGTCATTTCATTACAAAGATTTTTTCTTAGCTTAATGTTGGAATAAATGTACTATCGAAATCATACTGATATTTTAAACTAAGGTGCAAATTCACATAAAATCTGTATAACATTAAGGGACATAATGTCCAGATGTAAATATAAGCTCACTAACAACAAACTGTCATTTGTAATTCCTGATATTTTTGTCTTTTCTTTGGTAGCACTAGGGTTCTTCCCTGGGTATGCTAGAAACTTAGGGTTGTCAATGGAAACGTTTTAAGCAAACCAGAGCACCAAATAAAAGCACAAACACTTTTATTTTTAACAGTAGTGTTTTGTTACCATTTAGTGAAACAACAAATAAATACATTCATTGGCCACAGCTATACTTTTATGACCAGTTTGAAACTGACTGTATAGCTGAGAAACACTGTTAAACAATAAAAAAGGCAGCTATGCATAAAAAAGCCACTTTAACTATAAATTACATCTTTCATAAAACTACAACCAGCTATAATGAGTGGTAAGAGTCTCAAAATTAATGACCACCCAAATGAAACAATAAAAACAAGTACTGCTAATCACTGTAGAATTACACACTTAAGCAATGAAATTCACCATTCTAATTAACCGAAAAAGAAGGTCTGAAATTGTCATCATGTGCTTCAGTGCAGGATGAGCAGGGAATCGGTAGCCCTTTGATTTCATCAACTCCTTCTTTCGAGACCAAACTTAAAGTGCTCCTAGTGCTTTGGAATTTTTAAGCAAATAATTGGGCCAGAAGCTTATCTTTCTTTGTCTTTGGTGATGTATTATGGGAGATGCGTGTAAGGAGACAAATGTAAGAATTCAGGTACCCTAGTTAGGGATAAGAAGAAATATACAAATCTGAAATTTGGAAGAATCCACAAATGTAGCTGAAAGAACCAAGATATTTTACCTGGAATTTTTTTTTTTTTTTAAAGTAACCTTTGCTTATCTGGTCAAATAGGAAAACTACCTAGGGAGGCCTTAGAAAAAATGTACCTTATTTACTTTGAACCCCAAGGATTCACAGAGATATCTTTTCAGATAGTTCTAGGTAGATACCCAACATTATTAGGAAAATAAATAGTTGGCATTCTGAAAAGAAATTTAGCAACTGAAGTTGTCCTCAAAATATACTCAGTTAAGTGCATGTTACGTTGTCATGTAAATACTAAGGTTAACTTCTGTACTATACATTTTTAAAGAATTTGGTCACAACAAGAGAACTTATAAACAAAGCCAAAGTAACATAGCTAGGTTTATGCTTCTGATTGAGTTCAAAATCATTTTGTATGATAAAAAGAAGGAATTTCTTTGGCTATGTACCAGCCTTTCAAAAGAGCGAAAGTATTAAAAATTTCTTTTGTTCCTGTTAAACTTTTGTGAAGTTACTAAATAAGCAATTATTAAAACATTGAATGGTGTTTTTTTCCATCGAAAGGTATTTTAAGAGTACAAATAAAACATAACTTTCTAACCAAAGTAGAAGACAGAAAAGGACAGTTGTATTAGTTCAGTTCTGAAGAAACAGATCAGCAGACAATTTTACGTAGCTGGTCGTCTTTAAGCATGTTGTGACAACTTCCCAATGTTGCCTGTTCCCTTGGCATCTTGAGGTATTCAGCATCTACTTCTTTCCGTATAGATACTGGTAGAAAGTGCATTTTAAAATCCTTTATTACCTTAGCCTACCATATATATATTTTTTTAGATTTGGGATAGGACATTCAAGACAGTTTTAATATAATTCTAGTAGTATTTCAATATTGTTAAACAGTGGTTTTATACTTACCTAGTTAGTACCTTTGCGTCAGTTTGCTTATTCAGTGCTGGAATTAATTTGAATTAAATTTGATCTGGCTTTGCTCATTTACAAGATATAAAAACGGGAAAACTAAAGGAGGAATTATATGTCTTACGAAGTATTGCACTTGAGTTTACTGCAATAATGTATCATGATTTAATTTACCTGAGGACAATTCTGATTCAATAGGTACAATCAGCTATATCTTGTTCAGCTAAATCCAATGCTTTGAAAATGTACTCATGTTTTAACTTAGAATCGTACATTTTATGAATAATTCTTAAATGCATCTGTAAACTTGTTTAGTCCCAAGAAGTTTCTACCAAAATATCCCTATGCAAAAATCACTATTGCTTTCTTGAAGAATCATGCTTAAACTACTACAGATATCTTAATCATACAAAATAATCACTTGACCAATTCTACTCAAAATAGCCACATAATTTTCACCGGTATACTTTCTTCTTGAAGAAATGCCTGTGGCCTTCCAAAGAACACTGCCAGTCATCACTGAAAAGGATTACTATGGTCGTTTAAAAAAAAATGATTGAATAATTTCAGTTGGTATTTTACAATCATGCTTAAAAGAACTATCTTCAATGATTACATATATTTTAGATTTTAAAAAAGAATGATACATTGTTACACCTTAATCCTGTGCACTGTTCACACTGTAAAATTTTTATTGGGTAAAAATTCTGCATAGAATACACCACTGAATATACAGGCTTTGATTTTTCATAGGAAAATTGCCTCCTAATTAGGTGTACAGTGTAATATCCCAGTGTGAACACTGGAGTGTGACTTTGGGGACTGCGGTGTATTCTTTCAGGACAAAGATAAAAGTGCAAATATGCAAATATGCATGTGATGTTCCAGAGTCAGGGTGTTTGCAACCATCAAGTGCCTTAAAATCGAATCCCTCTTTTCTCCCACTCCACACTTCCCATTTTACTTTACTTTGTATGAAGTCAAAAGTAACAGGTGTGTCCTCTGCTGAACACAGCCACATTTCCAGGCTTTGTTTTCAGTTGCGACAGATAATGGAATGTTTATGTAGGTGGAATTTAAACACATCGAATATACACGTTCATGTAAGACAATGGTGGAATCACATCTCTGAAATGCTCTCAGTTTTGTGGTGTTACATACAAGCTATGGTGATTGCTCATATCTAAGTTGCTACAAGTAAACAGCAATGGAGCAGTGTCTGTCACAGGTCCATTCAGGTGGGGAGAAACTGTGTAACTGTTGCTGCCACACCCAGTCATGGTGCCATACCAGCCCAAACCTTGCGAATTCGATAAACTGCAACAACAAAAAAAGGCAAAAAGGCCATAGGATGGTGATCAGAATATAGGGCACGTTGGCATTTTTAGCATTCGATGACTTATAATCTAAAAAGTATCAAATATGTTGAAATATGTTTTTTGCCAAATAACATAGTAGCTTTCTATAAAATGTAATGACTTTTATCTAATATCCTTGATTTTATAACACATATTACAAAAGAATAAATACATCAGAATTAGAACTTGATTATCAGATAATAATATAGTGCTTATTAAGGACGAGGCTCTATTTTAGGACATGTTTGTGTGTGTATATACATAATAATGTATATACATGCACATACCCTATTTAATCTTCACAACAATCTCATTAGATAAACTCTATTGCCACTATTTTACAGATGAAGAGCAGACTAAAAAATAAGGGTTAAGGAACTTGTCCACTGAAGTGAAAATTGCAGAAAATGCTATTACCAAGCTCAAAGCATTATGGAGGTATGCATTTAGCCTTTCACTTTGCCCTGATACACAGCTAATGGTACAGAGCTGCAATGGTTTTAGAATAAGAAGGACACACGATTTTCTATGGCCACTAAGCTTCCTGAGAGTTTCATCCAGGGTTTCTTGGTGGGTTTTGAATAGCACTATAAATAAGGAAACATAATCACTCTAATTGTATTCCTTCCCTGTTCATCAACCCCTGCCAGCTTTGAACCAACACGGAACCTGAAATGAGATGGTCCCATTTTACACACAGAGGCATTTCCCAAATAAAGGTAATATATGGACTTAGAGTCCGATGACAGTTCTTTATAGTATAGGTCCCTCTATGTGTGTAATGCCTAATGCTCTAAGATCCAGGTTAAATGATCTTATTTACCGACATATGGCACCCAATCTACCTTTCTCATATTTGGGTTAAAGCTTAGGTTTGTTCTTGTCAATCTATTCAGTACTAATTCAGTACATTTACCTTCCTTCTCTTGAACTTCCCAGTCTTGGCAAGTCATCATCACTATCGTATCGTCTTGGATTGTCGAAAAAGTAAGCTCTGGAACTGTAATTGTGACTATTTATCATGCCAGCAGGTGCCTGTGAACAAAGTATTAAATAGCATAATGAATGTTTCTTTTCAACTAAGAAAGGAGGCTGAGATCTAGAATGCTTTTTAGTTTTAAGCTTTGCCCCCCAAACCCCCAGAAAATTGATATAAACTTTCCATTATTTTTATAAAAATAAGGGGAACAGGCATTGGGGAATATTATGATATCATACCAAATTCTGGTTTAATCTCTGCGCCCGGAAAAAGAGTACCACTGACCATGCTGGCACATGTTCCCACAGAAAGAGGACCATTCCAAATACTATATACTCTTCTCCACTTATGTCTTCTAGATGAGCCTGTAAACAGAGTATGACAGGGCCATTTTTAAACCTGTTTTTTTGTATAAGCAGTCACAATTTGCTTCAGGTAGGGTAAGTTAAAACACACCAACTATAGGCACATAAATTTCTAAATTCATTTTCCATAGTTTGTGGTTTTATGTCCTTTAAAGGACATAAAAATGCTTTGATGTTAAGTAAAAGAAAAAGCTATTAACTTTTTGGTTGTGAAAATATTTTTAATATATGGGTAAGTTGAAATTATCTCATTTCTAGACTCCAAAGTCTGAAGAGAGTTATAAAAGAGAGGACTGGTTCTAGCTACTACATAGCAAACCTAATAGCACCTACTGAGTTACACCTGTAGAGAAATGTCACATGTTAAGTAGCTCAGCCCCACTACTATTTAAAAATATGCTTTGGGGCAAAAAAAGAAAGAATGCTTTGGGGCCTAAACTTCATATTCAATTTGCTTTTATTCTGCTAGATGTTGGGTGAGAGAAGAGGCAAAAGGAGTGAAGAGAATCTGCCAGCTGGAACTACAGGTGAAAATTCCCTTACTGAGGAAGGAAAAAAAAAAAAAACTAAGAGAATTCATTTTCTTTAGAAAGGTAACTGAAATTCTGATAAAATGATATTCCAGAATGTCTTAAATTCAGCACAAAGTTATATTAATGTAAAGACATGACATGAAGCTATGTCAAACTGAACTTTTAGGAGGGGGACAGAGAAAGCTGGGATTAAATGTGATAGCTAGAGCACCAGGAATTACTAGAACAAGCATCTGGACACCCAGAAACTATGAATGCTCTCCCATGATCGTGACTGATAATACCAGATTTTCAGAAAAGATCCTTATTTAAGTATCTAAAACCAAACCAAATATTTAGGTTATATGTAGGTCTTTGGTTTGAGAGAATAAATTTCATCCTAACAGGTTAAAAATATACCCATATTCACTAGCTAATGACAGGCAGTCAATTTAGCTAGAGATAGTTCAACACTATCCTTGAAAAAAAAACAGTAAAATATAGGGTTATGACCAATAAATAGGTTTATGGCCCTATTAGTGTTATCCACAAAAAGAAAAGAAAATACTCCTTTGGGAGAAGTTTTCTCTGAAGAATGATTTTAAGTGACACATGTAAATGAGGACTTTTAAGCATAAACTTTTTTTTTTAAGATTTTTATTTATTTATTTGACAGAGAGAGATCACAAGTCAGCAGAGAGGCAGGCAGAGAGAGGAGGAAGCAGGCTCCCCGCTGAGCAGAGAGCCCGATGTGGGGCTTGATCCTAGGACCCTAGGATCATGACCTGAGCCAAAGGCAGAGGCTTTAACCCACTGAGCCACCCAGGCGCCCCAATTAAGCATAAACTTTAAGTATGGTTATTGTTATAGCCAGAGGTAAATGTTTGGAAGTCAAACACTTAAAATATTCTCTTAGTTAATGCTAATTTCATTATTATATTATTAGATTAGCAATACATGGTAGCTACTTACCTTATCTGAAAGATTATCCCAGCCATAATTAAATGGACTTTCTAATGTATCCTGAGATATGGTGATCACCACCAAATTATAACAAGCTCTTGAAGAGTAGAGAAGAATGACTACAGAGCCTACGACAACGGTCTGGCACAGAGACATACCCTAGAAGAGATAAAACTCGTCATCATGGCACTCCACACGTTTGTCACAAGCTGTTCATCCACATTCAACAGAGTCACCACTTGCAGTGGTGAGCTCGCTGAGTGAGCACTTGGTGGAATAAACTCTTGGTTATCCTCCTTTGCAATTCCTATCCTTAGAACCACTTGTGTTTAAACTACCCTATTAATTCAAATAAGTTATTTGCCAACTTGGCCAATGGTAGCTGGAGGAAGATTTTGTCCTGCCATGATTACCTTACTCCCTTAAGTAATATGTGAATAAATAAATTGGTGAAATCGATATTAATTAAGAGAAGTAGTTTAATCGTAATGAGAAAAGAATGGGAAATAGAAGAAAAAGAAATAGAAATAGAGGAAATTCCATTTCATACACTTAATTTCTAATGAGATACAAAATTAGAATAGAAATACAGCTCCTATGTTATTTGCTTCATTCTATTAAAGAGTTGATGTTAGTCCCTTATTGAAGTCATTATGTTGACAACAAAATGATGTTGGCACTCAAATGCACTTTCAAATCCACAATATTTTAATAGCAAGACTTCTGTTGTTTCCCCAAATAGAAAACCTTATAATTTATTACTTAGTCACAATTTCATAGTCACACTCAACTTGACTGTGTATTCTGGAAAAAGGTGCAGTATCACCTTTTTACAAGGATTATTAATCTGGGGTCGATATTTCAATATAATTGGTTTCCTTTGTAATCCTATTTATCTTATGCATTAAAAACATTATTCTGAGAAGTGACACAATTGCCAAAGAGACGTACTGCAAAAAACACCCAGTGTGGTGTTTTGGAAGTTTGTGTTCTGGTTGTCACATGATGGCATTTAGCACACAAGGGCAGGGGAGGCTAGATGATCCGCAATTCACAGGAGAGTTCTCCACATGAGAAAATTCCTCTCTAAACTTCTCTAACTTTCCAGGGTCCTCTTAGAAATTCATGAAGATGAAAAACCTGTTTGTAATGATCTGGGCTAAAACCCAATTGTTTTATATATAAACAATGTTTATGTTTGTATAGTTTGAATAGATGCCAACATTTCCAGACATACATATAACATGTAAACTGAGGGAAATTTGTAATTCGTTTTGTTCAGAACTTTATCAAGAATGGCCAAAATTTGGGAAATTGTGATACAGACAGCAATACTGTGTGTGGTGTGTAAGGCACCAACACAATACCCTGTAACAGTCTGTGTTTGTAGCTGTCCCATTCAGTTTCTGTGTACAAATAACAAGCATCTGACTAGTACATCATGCCCCCAAATTTACATATTGAAATATTGGTCAATTGCTTTCCTTTTATTTCCTATTTATACCCAGGGCAATTATGTTGAATTTTTGAAGTTATGTGTGTAGGCAGATTAATAAATTGTTAATTGCAGGATAGAAAGAGTTTATTAAAAATACTTATCAGAGGGTTGTGCTGGGTTTGATAGGATTGAGAACCATTATTGTAACTTACTTCTTTATATATAAGAACAACACATTTTAGGGGCATATGAGAAGAAGGAGAACTAAAAGATAAAAGATACCTTGAAAGATGTTGAGAGAGTACCTTTTTAAACTTAGTCACTAATATAACAAAAAGTGTGTGTGAAAATAAATAAAACCCTAGCAAGATTAAAATTCTCTAAAGTCAAGTCTAAAATTTTCTATGGTGTGCATTTTTATTTTTGTGAATCCCCCCAAAAACTGTTAATAAAAAAGCTAATCTAAAATCAATCCAGATCCAATTTTAGAAGTACTGTATTATTAAAGAAACATTGAGTAACAAAAACTTAAAATGCTGTAAGCATTACCATTCTTTAAAATAATCATAAGTAACTTTACAGAGGAATAAAATGACCACTAAATGGGCTTGATCCCAGACATAATATAGAGAGAGATTCTGCTCATACTTATGAGTACTATAAAAACTAAAAAAAAAAAAAAAAAAAAAAAAAAAAAGATTACTAGAAAAGAGCAAAGAATCAATAACACTGAGGTAATTAATAAAACAAGATTACAGACAAATTACATACATATAACAATGAAAGAAGCCCACTAATTTAGAAAACAAAAGAAGATTCTTCCTGCAAAACACAGAATTACAAAACAAAACAAAGCAAAAAAGGATTCTGCAACATGGAAGCTGTTGTCAAAAGCTAAAGAAAATCTTCCTAAAATGGATAGAGTCGTAACATACAATTCCACTCAGGAGCAGTCCTCAAGATCTTATTTTCCCTTCCTGTATCCCTGCACTTTTTCGGAAATTCCACACCAGACAAGGAAAGAAGAGTTACACCTCACTCCAGGATGCCTATTATTAATATATTGGTATGTATATCATTGACTATAGTTCAATTTTGTTTACAGGTATTTTTAAATGCAGGTATGCAGAAATTTCAACTTATCATTCACTGAGTTTTGTTTGACAAATGTGTATACGCCAATACAACCCAAATTTCTACCAAAATAGAGAACATTGCCATCACTCCAGAAAGTTCCTCATACCTCTTCCCCATCAGCCAAACCCTCAAAGGCATATACTCTCCTGCTTCTGTTTTTATAACTTAGTTCTGAACTTCAAATAAATGGGACCATTGAATATGAACTCTTTTGTAGGTTTCATTCAGTCAGCGTAATGTTTTCTGCTTCATGCATGTTGTTGGATGTTTCAGTAGTTTGGTCTTTGTATTGCTCAGGTGGTTGATTAGAATGACCAACTCCTCCTGGTTTGCTCAAGAGTTTCCTAGTTTTAGCACTGAAAGTTCCACATCCCAGAAAACTTCTCAGCCCCAGAGAAACCAGGACAGTTGACCACACTAATTCTACTAATTAGATGAAATTGTTTATATGAGAGTTTCATCTGTTGATGCACAGTTTCTACAAACATTCTTATACAAGTAGTTTTGTGGACATGTCCTTTCACTTCTTTGTGGTAAATACCTAAAAATGGAATTACTGGGTCATATGGTAGGTATAAGTTCAGCTGTATAACAAACTGCCAGATCTTTTTCCAAGATGGAGGTACACTTTTACACTTCCAACAAAGTACGAGAGTTCCAGTTGCTCCACATCCTAGAGAACAATAGGGGTTTTCAAGCTCTCTAATTTTAGCCATGCTGGTAGATGTATAGTTGTATCTCATTTTGGTTTTAATTTGCATTTCCCCAACAACTTATTGGCCATTTGTATATCTTCTTTGTGAAAAATCTAGTCATATCTTTGACCACTTCTAAATTGGGTTATCTTTTTTTTTTTTTTTGAGTTGTAGAAGATCTCTATATATGCTGGAAATGAGTTCCTTGTCAGAAATATGTATTGCAAATATTATCTTGAAGTCTGTGCTTTGCATTTGCATTTTCTTAGTCTTTTCTTTGGATGAGAAATTCAAACTTTTAATTAAGCTTAATTTATCAATTTATTCCTTCTGAATACTTTCTATGACCTAAGAGATCTTTGCTTATTCCCAAGTTATAAAGAAGTTTTTCTGTGTTTACTTCTAAAAGCTTTGGAGTTTTTTCATTTATATTTAGGTCTATGATCCATTTAAAAATTTTCTTGTATGAGTATAGTATGAAATGAAGTTAGGGGTTCATTTTATTTCATTTAGATACTCAGTTTTTACAGCCTCATTTGTTGAAAAGCTCCCATTTTCCCTTCAGATTGCTTTAGCACCTTTGTCATAAATCAAAAGACCTTATAAGTGTGAATTGATTTCTAGCTTTCTATTCTGTTCCATTGCTCTGTTTGCCTCTTTTATGCTAGTCACACAGTCTTAATTATTGTAGCTTTATACTAAATTTCAAAGCCATGTAGTGTAAGTCCCTGCTTTTTCAGGGTTTCTTTCTGCATTGTTTAATATAATAGCCATTAGCTTCATGTGAGTATTTACATTTAAATTAAATTATATTATTTATTTACTTGAGAGAGAGAACACGCACACACACATGAGGGGCAAGAAGGGGCAGAGGGAGCAGTGGGAGAACCAGAGAGCCCACCAAGCAGGAAGCCTAACATGGAGCTTGATCAGGTTCTGATCTCATCAGGATCTTGAGATCAGAACTGAGCCAAAGGCAGATACTTAACTGACTGAGCCACCCAGGCACTTCCTGTAAGGGACTCTTAACTATAGGGAACATACTGTGAGTGACTGGAGGGGAGGTGGGTGGGGGAGATGGGGTAACTGCATGATGGACATCAAGGAAGGCGTGTGATATAATGAGCACTGAGTGTTATATGCATTTGATGAATCACTGAACTCTACCTCTAAAAGTTAGTAATATATTATATGTTAATTAATTGAATTTAACTAAAAAATTTAAAAATTAAATTATCAAATCCTCTTTCACAATAGCAACATTTCAAGTGCACAGTAGTTACATATGGCTTGTTACAATACTGAATAAGGCAGATATAAAATATTTTCATCATCACACAAAGTTCTACTAGGAAGCACTACCTTAAAAGTATTTTTAGGTCTTTTTCATTTTCACATACATTTAAAAATAAAATTGCCAATTTCTGTTTTTAAGAACCTCATGGTAGAATTATGATTAGGATTGGTTTGAATCTGTAGATCATTTTGGGAGGAATTGCCATCTTAACCATACTGCATCTTCCAATCCACGAACAATGGTCTCCACTGATTTAAGTCTTCTTTAGTTTCTGTCAGCAGTATTTTGTAGTTTTCAGTATAGAGGTATTGTTTTTTGGAAAATTTGTTCTAAGTATTTTGGGTTTTTTGATGCTAATATAAATGGGGTTAGTTTTTTGAATTTCATCTTCTAACTGTCTGCTCTTGATATATATATAAATACAATATAATTTTGTATTTTGACCTTGTATCCTGAGAACTTGATACATTCAAAGTTCTAGTAGTTATCTAGTTATTTAAATATTAAATTTTAAAAGATGTTTTATATAAACAATTCTGTTGTCTGCACTTAGAGACATTTTTACTTTTTTATTTCCAATTTTATAACTTTT